TGGTCCGTGCCGAGTGGCAGGTACCCACACAAGCGCAGGTGTTCCCCTGCACCGCAATCTTCTTAGCAAAATTGGCCAAGACTCTGTAAGAAGGCCTCCCACTGGCACGCAAATTGCAGACTCGAATGGCTCCATCCAGGACAGCACGTAACACTGCAGTGTAAAGAGCCTGTCGTAGGTTTGGAACCCTCAAGGAATGTTGCTCTTAGTCCCTAGTTGAGTCGAAAATTTTGGGTAATACCAATTTCAAGAAACCTACAATAGCTTTATGATAAACAGACTCAGTTTTACTTAACCAGTACTTCATTGACTGATATGAATGTCAGCCGTAAATGAGAATTGTGATTAACTGTTGTGAACATGAGCACTTTCACACACGCTGTTTTTAGTTCATAAGGAATTTTCAAATATGCAGTTTTTAGTTCTTAGGGCATTTTCACATATATAGTTTTTAATTTATGGGGGATTTTCACATATACAGTTTTTTAGTTTGTTTGAATCAAATGCTGGAGCGTGTACTCTCTTGGCATGGTTTGTTTGGGCAAGGGAGAGCATAGGGATAAGCCTTACATCACCAATCACAAGGCTAAGCATCGGATGGAGTGGTGTAAAGCATGCTGCCACTGGACTCTGGAGCGGGGGAAACAAATTCTGTGGAGTGACAAATCAAGCTTCTCTATAAGTTTGGTGGAGGAGGGATAATGCTATGGGGTTGTTTTTCAGGGGTTGGCCTAGACTCCTTAGTTCCAGTGAAGGGAAACCTTAATGCTTTAGCATACCAAGACATTTTGGACAATTGTATGCTTCCAACTTTGTGGGAACAGTTTGGGGAAGGGCCTTTTCTGTTCCAGCATGACTGTGCCCTGCACGGAGCCCTGACCTCAACCCCATCAAACACCTTTAGGATAAACTAGAACAGTGATTGCGAGCCAGGCCTTCTTTTCCAACATCAGTGTCTGACCTCACAAATGCTCTTCTGGATGAATGAACAAAAATTCCCACAGACACTCTCCAAAATCTTGTAGAAAGCTTCCCAGAAGAGTGGAAGCTGTTAAAGCTGCAAAGGGGGACCAACTCCACATTAATGCCTATGGATTTAGAATACGATGTCATAAAAGCTCCTGTGGGTGCAATGTGTAGGTGTCCCAATACTTTTGTCCATATAGAGTATCTGCATTTTATTAATTTTCCTGGACTTCTAACCTTCTACAAATATGTCTTACTTTTCTCTGTAAAGCTAATCCATGTAGATATATACTTCCAATTTCTACATTCATAGATGTTTACTCTTTTTTTCTTATTCTTAATGTCATTATTATGAAATGTAAAAAATAGTATACCATTCTATGAATGTGTTCAATCTTTTGACTGGTCAGTTCGAAAGACTTCATTTCAAATCATAGGAGCTGTAATTTTAATTAGATCTTACATTGTTACTCAGTATTGTCTTAGCAAATTTTCATTGTGGAAATTTAACCTAATAACACAAAGCTTGTGAACTGACGATCTGGCCCACCACATTCAGTCTGTAAAAAAATGATGTGTTGATCTTGGCGAAAAAAAAAATAAAAAAGACCCGGAGCTTAATTTATAAAAAAAAGGCCAAAAAAATCACAATTACGACATGTTCTCCAAATCGTTCAGCCCTAGTTTTGTATTTCACTTGTGAACTTGGAAATGATTTCTGCTAAAATACTATTTCTGTGGAGAAAGACATAAAAGAAGCACAGGTCATGCTGTTGCAATAGCTGATGCTCCTGAGGATTTTTTTGCGCAGCTGTTAAATTAATCGCTTGCTCATAAACTTCTGCTTTAAACTTTGCATGTCGCATCCCTTTAACAGACGAATGGTGAAATATGAGCTTGAGTCATTGCTTTGCTGCAGAAACCACACACGGCCACCCTCGGTCCTAACTAACTGTTATTGAGGCTGGCAGCCATAACAGGCTTTAATATGGAGTTATGTGAAACTGCAATCTCTTTCTCTCTCGTTTCCTGCTGGGTGACTTTGCCAGGCTCAAAACTCCCCGGCTTCCCTCACCATCCTGGGTTGAGTCAACAGCTTACTGCCAATGCAGGGGACAAATGGCCACCCCTGCAGTGGGTGCCATTGCTACGCATAAATCTGACCCTCAGGGTTTGTATAGTACTACGAAAAAGTCTTAAAGCACCTGACAAATATGTTTAGATATTTAAGACTGAATCTCTGACTGCACGATGATTGAATTAGAATATAATTATTTAGGAAAAGGTTCGTTACATTATGAAATTTTGATTCATAATTGGTTCTGATTTACTTATTTCAGAATTATTTTTGAAAGCACATTGAACACAAACTACTCTATGTACATATGGAAGACAGACAATTAAACAAGTTTTTTAAACAATAACAGGACATACTGTGTATATCCTAACATTCTAAAACAGTGGCAGATGCATTGCCACCTTCAGATACTTTTAGTACAGTTTTTCTAATTTTTATGTTAGTTTTTCATTGGGAAGTTTCAGCTGGGATTTTTTTCATGTACCCATTTGCCAGTGCCAATACAAAAAACATGATATCAAAATTGGGACTGTCTGGATTAACATTCTGGAGAAATATAAACATCCAAATTTTTAAGACCAGTATGATTCCATTGTGCATCCCTAGTTTTTGCTATATGGTGGGTATCTATAAAATCTATAAAAATAAAAGTGCTTCTATAAGAGTTATTAGAGTCTTGTTAGATGGTCAGTAGTACACAGATTAAGTTTGTCCTCTCTTGTACACCCCAGCCATTACATGGATTTGTTCAATTTCACCACCAGCACACTTTTATTAATTTAATCAAATATCGATTAGCCCAACCAGGTATGGTAAGTGAAAAGCGAACACATTGACAGGCATTAAATGTCTATTTATTGTTTTAGGGGGAAATCTATTAGGAAAGTCGTTGGAGTGGTTTGATGTGAAGTAGTGCATTGTAGAAAAACTTGCCAACTCAGATTTTCTTTGCAGTGTTGGCAGTAGGAACCAGGGGTTGCACTGTCTAAATAGCAAATATCGCCCCTTTATTTACAACCAGAAATGACCAGTAAACCTACCTGTCTTTTCAAGTTTTTATACGTAATGTTGATAATGATAAAATAATTGTACATCTGGGGGGAAAAAAAGTGTTCTTTAGTACTACTTGGACAGAATTAGTTTTACAGGTGAGGTGGGGTGGTGTAATTATTACCAGTGTTTCTCAGTGAATCCATGTCAGTCATTTTATGGACTGTGCAGTTCTGCATAAAGATTCCAGCTTTTACCTACTATAAAACAAATTGTAGTAATAACCCCAGGCTGTCTTAATCCTGTGTGAAACGACATGTTGATAAGTGTTTTGGCATTTTTTCTTAAGTATGGAGATGCTTGAAGAAACATTGTTTTGTTTTAATTCTCTGTGGCCCAAACCAGTATTATCTTACTTCAAGTTTGTATCTATAAACAGTAAAACATGAAATATGAGAAAAAGGTTGAGTTAATGTGGTAATGTTGACTGTTGGCTGTGAATTCCCATGCTAATGACCCATTTTGCACATTCATTTAAGACAGCTAGATAGATGGTTAGGATACATGATATTACGACAAAATTAGATTTTGTGTTATTCACGTTTACTGCTCAGATCAATAGCCTTACGTATAATTTTCTCAGGTGGCCTAAGACTCGCACAGCACTGTTTGTTTGTGACTGATAAATGGCTACTTCAAACTTAAAATTAGCCTCTGTTTACGTGTATGACCCGAAACTCTCATAGGGACTGGCCAAAGCACTTTTTCATTCATCATGCCCTCTGTAGAAAGCTGTTTCTCTGCCAGTGAGGAATACAAGCTAATGAATAAATTTTAAAGGTAGAGAAGATATAAAGGGTGAAAATTTGTTTTGGTTCTCTGATCTTCTGACTCAGGAGAAATGTTTGAATTACTGTTGACTGGACTAGAATGCTAAGCCCTTTAAACGCCTCTCTCTCTGTCTGTTTCATTATTTACGGGTCTGGATATGAGTCTTTTTTCTCTGTTGTAGCTCGGGGGAGACCTTGGAGGAGGTGTTGGGGGAAGTCCTGCAGTAAGTGAGCCAATCTGTCCGCTTGTCCACCCGACCGTTTGTCCATAGCTTGGCTTTCTGTCTGTCTGTCTTCTCTCTGCATGCTCTTAACACTGATGGTTATATTCACGGTTCCTGATACAAGCTGCGTAGATTAGCATCATGTGTAGATGTATGTTGGTGTGAGCTGTTGGCTTCTTTTCTGTGCACCTGGGTGTCTTTTGCTTTTTTGGGTTTGCATGCAAAAATTCTTATTATAATTTTCATTTTCATGACGTACTTGTATAGAATCATCTCTGTTTATAGCAAAATAGTAACGGTAAGTCTATCTCATGCTTGATTTTGCTTTGTTTTTTCTTTTTTTCTTTTCAGTGCTTTAAAAAAAAGTCTTTATGTTGCTCTGATAAATTAAGAGGGGTCATGTGTTTTGGTCTATGTTTCTGGATATTGTACCCACGCATCAAAATGTAGGCATGAAACAACAGAATTGATTTTCTGCAACAAGAAGACTGAAAAAACTGTATGCTATGAACATGGCTATAACATAGACATCAGCTTTTCATCAAGGAACTAGATAATTGATCCCTCTTGAGTTATCATCTTGATATTTCATGGCAAAAAGGTCAGAAGTTTTCTGTGTAAAAGAAATTATACAGAATGTTGTCAAACATTGTTTTAAGCAACAAAGTATGCTGAATATTTAAGTACTCAGAATTTAAGTAAGTTGGTAAGTGTCCTTAAAGGAATGGTTTGCCGAAAAATTAAATTTACACAATTTTCCACTTAGCCCAGATGTAGTCGATTGGCAGAGACATGTATAAGGTCCAAATTTAGCTAGTCTAGTGTAAAACTGGAGCAATTAAGCTAGCATTGCTAGCAACAACTAAAACTCAGTTGAAACCCAAATCGTTTCTGTAAAAAATATGTTACTACAATTTCTTTTGACCAACTCAGACTGCTCCTAGGTGTTCATTAGGCTTGTGCACACTTATTGATGTGGTTTAGGATGCAGAATGGCTCACTGTGAACAATAACACTGAACAAAACTGTCACCTTAGGCCACAGGGTCTGTATTCACAAACTGCTCCAGGAGTAGCAGTGCTGATCTAGAATCAGTATTTGAGACAATGACTGGGATAAATATGGAAGAGTCAAGATCAGTCCTGCTTTATGAATACCGGCCCTGGTGTTGTCTGAAATTAAATTTTGCCGATTCGCATAGCTTGCAGTAAGTCATAATGTGCTCTAAACCATATTGACAAATCTGCGCCACCTTAATGAGGATACAGGTTAAGAGAAGTTTGGGAGATGTATTTACAGAAAATATTTAGGCTGTTTGGGTGAACATTGAGTTCTATTGTCTGTTAACAATGTGAGCCTCATAGTTCCAGTTCTAAAATAAAGAAACAAACTTTAGACTCATTCAGACATGTTTGTGCTGATCTTGGAAAATTACATAAATTAGATTTTTTGCCAAAATATTCCTTCAAAGTCCTTCATTTAGCTCTCAACTAATGACATTTTTTCACTGTGCAGTTGCTGTACAGTATGTTGGTTACAAATCTTTGATCACATTATTATCATTTCCATTGCAAAGTGTACCATACTGTACCTGAGTACCTGTGCTGAATTTAGTTACCCATCTTGTTGGGGTACCAAGCATGCCAAGCCAAAATGGTAGAACTATTAATGGTGCAAAGCACTGATTAGTCATATGTAATCACCACAAAATCATCACACAGTGTGACTGGAGTCAGATGTCTACCAATGCTAGCCAACCAGAATTGCTGACTCTCACATGATACTAAATGCAGTGAAAAGTAAATCTGAACTTGTAACTTCTCCGTTGTTGCTACTGTTTTTTTTGTTTACTGTTACGACAAGATCAGCACGAGTCATTTATGTGACCACACAAGCTAAAGAGAATTCGCAGGTACTCTAGTAGGGTACGGATAATTCTGTGTTTATAACTTTACTGTGCTGTACCACAGTGCACAGTGGAAAATTGCCATTAAGACATTTTAGCATTGTTAGCCAGACTGATGATCTGTATTTTATGTGTGTGTAAATTCGATTGTATGTTTTACAGGTTGGCCAGAACTTTATTCCATCTTCAGTGCCCAACACATTTGCTCCATCCCCTACCCCAGCAACGCTGAGCAGTGGATTGAATGACCTGTTTGAACTTTCCACAAGCATGGCCATCACTACAGGCGGATATGTGGCACCTAAAGCTGTGAGTGCAATTTTTTTTCTCTAAAAGACTCAGGCACTTGAACGTAAGCTCAAAAAGGTTTTAAACACAACTGACAAAACAGAGCTTTTTTATGTGAAAGAAAAGGCTCTTATACTTTTGTAAAGAGTAATTACACCCTAAAGGAAATTAAATAAAAAAAAATTGTAGTATATTGCTTTGCAATAAGAAGTGACATTAGCCTTGTTGATGTCCTATGCTAATCAGTCAGCTAGTGTTACCATCTTCTGATGACGGTGCCAGTGTTTTGCAGCACTGATCAGGGGTGTAAGAAAATATCGATTCACTTGTGTATCACAGTATTATCTTTTGTGATACTGTATCGATTCTTAAAAACAGAGTATCGATTTTTAATTAATAGTTTACACGCAAAGATTTGTGGCAGACAGTGGTTCATTTTGTGTGGTGTTGAAATCTCCAACTGCTAAATGGCAATGTTGTAATCTCCAGCTATTAGATTTTTTTCACTCCAACATAAACAAGTAGCACGTAGGTGCACCGCTAACGTTGGCATTAGCAAACTTAGCTGACTAGCAGCATTACCACCGATGACTGAATTGGAAAGATTTGGACCAGTGTTATAACAATTTGTGCTACCCATCATGCTAGCATGCCCAGTACTATAGCGTAGTAACATGGTTTTAAGGTTAATTCAGCCTTACTTTTTTGTTCTGTTGTAAGGTCTATTATGTTGTCCAGCTTAATATTACTAATTACTCCCTAATAAGCTGATTTAAAAAAATATCCCGCTTATTCTTTTAATGCTGGTAACATTTTCTGATAAGGAGATTTAGACGAGGCTGAAGTCACCTTCCTATTCGTCAGCTTCTTGTTCACATTTTCCCATTCCACCTTAAATGGTGCAGTAGTAGTGGCCTAATGCGTTACAGTGACTGCTGCACCATTTGGTGGAACAAGCAAATTCGAACAAGAAGCTGCCAAATAGGAAGTTGACTTCAACCTCGTCTAAATCTTCTTATCAAAAAATGTTACCAGCATTAAAAGAATAAGCAGGATACTTTTTTAAAATCAGCTTATCGGGAAGTAATTAATAATATTAGTTAATATTGTGTTATTTAGGCTATCAAAATGTCCTACCAATAGTTTTATGCATATGATAGTGTGTTTTTTATGCTATGACAGTTTTCCTAAAATTCAGTTTTAAAAAATATCAATATATCACCTTGCTTACAGTATCGCAGCATATCACTATAAATTGAATCGTAACCCTTGTATCATGGTATGTTATATCGCCAGGTTCTTGCCAATACACAGCCCTAGTGCTGCAGAAGTGCGTTTGTAAGATGCGAAGTAGACTTTGAGAACACAGTCATATTTTAACCAAGTTGTAGTCTCTCTTCAAATCTGTATAAAATGATGCGGTGTAATGTGTTTTTCTGTCCGTTTATACCAGAAATTACCACCACTGCAATAATGCCAGTTTCTGCTAGCCTGTTTCTGGGATTTTGAGTAGTGCTTTAAGGAATGTTCATTGTTCATTGAACATATGCAAGTATTTAATAGCCTGTATAGAAAAGGCTGACTATGTTTAACAGCAAGTCAGCCACAGAGCAGCTAGAGTAAAGCAAGCGATTATGTTAGGGGTTTTTCACTTGTAGCCTTCCGAAAATACATATTAGACCACTAAAACAAAGACACCTTACCCCTACTACTGACCAGCAAAGAGGGTGGGCTTTGTCCCCCTTAATTTAAAGTGTGCCCCAGTACAACCAGTATAGAAACTCCCCTGTTTTCTTTGCAGTTCACAACCCCCCCCTCCTATTTTTGACCATTTGTCAAAGTTGAACTAGAGGTGGAGTTATCTGAAACTAAAGGGATGTTGTTAGATAGGAATAAAAAGCGTAGGAATAGAAGTATATCTATGAACGCGTTTACATAAGCATATAAGACAGATTTGTTGTAATTACATGAGAGCAGGTAGTGCACCAACTGGTATGACACAGTTTAAAACACTGAGTATAAACATAACTAGAAGTGAAAGCAGTGTTTACAAAGTAAAGTGCACAGTGAGAGTCATTACAGTAGAAGTTATGATGTATTGCACAGTGTGTATTAACGAGAGAGGTAATATAGTGATGTGATTTAGCACAGTTCGGACAGCAGAAGGTCAGTACCATCTCTGCAGTAAGGAGACTCGTTGTAGAGCCTTATAACAGTGGGTAAGCAAGATTTTCCATGGCGCTCTTTAACACAACACAGCTGTAACAGTCTGCCGCTGAATGTGTTTCTCTGTTTTTTCAGTGTAGCATGCAGGGGGTGTGAGCTATTGTCCAGGATAGATAACAGCTTGTTGAGAGTCCTTTATTCTGCCGCAATGTCCAAAGAGTCCAGCTTGACTCCTACAACACAGCCTTCCTAATAAGTTTGATTAATTTGTTTAGAGCACTTTTGTTAATGCTGTTGCCCCGGCACACAACAGCATAGAATTAAGCACTCACTACAACAGCCTGGTAGAATGTCCATAGGAGCTTTGTGCACATATTGTTATTTTTTAACAGAATAGTTGTGTGCTTCTTCCCAGATTAATTCAAAATATGTTTTTTTGGATGCTAACGCTGGATTGAGCTCATAAAGCACATGTTCAGAGATGTGGCCATCCAGAAATGAACGTTAAGAAAGCAAATGCAAAGCCTGTAATTGCTAATGCAGTATAAGCCCACCACACAAACACATAAGCAAGTAAAGCACATAAGCATACTTGGTCCCTAATTCATTGTGATGTTTTGACCTCATGCCTGTTTACATTATATAGCAAGCACTAGTGTGGCAGGTCTGAAACCATATACCAGATTTATTCTAATTCTGCTGCAGTCACATCGCATTCATCCAGGGCATTAATACCTCTCAGGAGCACGGCACACTAGGGAATGCCGTAGGCAGCTGCATTAATAATAACTCCATCATCCAAACTCAGCTCTGAAAGGAAACTGGGTTAGAAGAATAAGGAAGAACATATGAAAATCTCATGCCAGCAACTCAAGATTCTCCACAAATGCAAATGTTTTACTCTTGGCATCTTAAAAAAGTCCAAAAGACCTTGCATCCCAAAGGAAACAGTGTGAATGTGAAATGTGATGGGACTGATTCTATGTTGCTATGTATATGTATATACATAAAGTCTTGCAGTGTTTTGACTGTTTTTAAAGATTATGAAATGTTTGATTTCGATGGAAAAAAATTGAACAACAAATCTAACATGAGTGCTAATAGTACATGGCCGTATAATCAGTGTAAAAAATTGTGCAACTTACTGTGGTACCAAAAGGTATATGGGCATTTATAAAGGAGGCTAGTCTGTTTCAGACTGTTATTGTTTGAAGAAACATTTTTTTTTATTTTAACTACAGATTCTACATCAAAATTTAAAAGGAAGAGGGCAGGAGAAACTAGCCGTACACTCACTGAGCACTTTATTAGGCACACCTGTACACATACTCATTCATGCAATTATCTAATCAGCTAATCGTGTGGCAGTGCATAAAATCATGCAGAGGCATGGCAGCAGCGTCAGGTACATGTAATCTCATCTTGTGGCTGGTTTGAGTATTTCTGTAAATGCTGATCTCCTGGGATTTTCGCACACAACAGTCTGCACACCATTTGTATAGTATTAAGTGCTCAGTGAGTGTACCTTTGATGTTTTCTCAAGTTTATGGTGTATCTTGTCACATAACCAAAAACAATGCCGATATGTACCTCTTTCCTGTTTACATTTGAAGCAAAGATCTAAACAATCTAAAGAGATCTTATGGAGGCAAACTGGCCTAAGTTATGTCCTTTAAAAAATACTTTTAAGTTAATTTCATGAAAAAATGTTGAGCATAATTTGGGATATAGGCCATCCCAGTTTTACGGTTATCATCACTTATATTTATTCCCAGATCCCACTCCCACATGTCTTTCGAAGATCGTAGAGATGATGTATATACACCGAATAGTAGGTCATATATTCATGAAGCCCTTTTAAGCCACTATGCCAACACTGTTAGAAATAAAGGTTCTGTGCAGGTACATTTATCATTCATCAAGGTACAAACAATGTAAATGTACAACAGTGGTTTTAAGGTCCAACTGTACACCTTAAACAAAGTTTTTCTGGGTAAAAAGTACATCTTTGTACCTTTTCATCGCCTAATGTTTTAAAACAAAAATAAAATAAAAAGCCTGGAGATGAGACGGGGTGTGTGGAGTCAGTAAATATTTTATTTAACTGCGTGATGCTTATGACACTTATATTTCTGGACATGTTTTGAGGTGGTTTTATGAGAATGACCTGTCTAAGAAGTGAGCCCTGTCTATTTCCACAGTTTATAAATCAGATCCTCTAGTCACATTACCACTCTACACTTTATACTTCCCAGCAGTCCATTGCAGCAATGGCACACCAATCCCCTGTGTGAGTTTGATGCTTCTTGAAGAATGTTGGGTCAGAGTGCTTTGGGCCTTGCTCATTGTGATTTAATAGAGGATACTCAGAATTTAGGATATTCAGAATGTATCTATTCACGCCTGTCAAAATGTATGGCTCTTTTTAGGCTGCATATCTATGTTTTCATTTTTCCTCTTTACAAATCTTGGTCCTGTCTCTGAATATTATCAGTAATAGCAGGTTGAAGCAATGTAAAGCAGTGCACAGAGCTACTAGGTTGTGCTGCTTAAATACTCCCATTGCTCCAAATACTCTCTGCACTCTGTAGGCTTCTTGTCCGAGTGGACATACCGAAGAGATATGAACACAAAAGCATAAGTTTATCAATGGCTTTGTGATGGGCTTCCTGGTATTCTCAGTGGAGAATTACCATTCATTCTGTTGTGAAGGCACTTAACCTGGACCTGCAAAGCACTGTCTACAGAATTTTGTGCTTGTTCTTTCACCACAAATATAAATGAGCAGACATAGTGAAATGTGAAGAGAGATGATGGATCATAATATTGAGGTTTTTATTTCAGGTGTGGTTGCCAGCTGTCAAGGCCAAAGGGTTAGAAATTTCCGGAACATTCTCCCGCCGTCAGGGTCACATGTACATGGACATGACTTTTACCAACAAAGCCTTGCAGCACATGACTGACTTTGCCATCCAGTTCAACAAGAACAGGTATGTGATCATGTGTATTTTTGATCATGGAAGTAACTTTTAATTATTCTGCTAATGAGAACTTTTTCAACATACAGTCTACAGTACTTTGAATACATTTTTAAGTTGAAAGTTTAAACGTAATCGAAGTCTGCTGCATCTGTAGCCTGCAGTCAATTAGCAGAGACAGTAATATTGTCCTGCGCTTGAATTCCAAAAAGTTAGCATGGTATATGAAATGCTAAGAAAACAGGAAGTGATGATTAATAAATCTTGTTTGACCTGTATTAAATTAAAAACGGTAATATAGAACAATATTTTTATTCTACCTATTTTTTTTTTATTCTAACTTTTTTTTTGTTAAATTTATGCTTATTCAAAATTTGATGCCTGCCACACATTCCAAAAAAAATGGATGTGGTATATGTTTTCAGTGGGAGACAGGTCTGTACTGCAGACAGTGAGTCTAGCACCTATAGGCTCTGGTTGCAGTTGGGGCCATGCAGAATGGGCCTTGGCATTGTCAGGTTAAAACAAGCATGGATGTGCCTGAAAAAGACTTATAATTGCTCCAAAATGTGTATATTTCTAGGGGTTTCCTGAATGTTTTCATGATATGAACAGTAGAGGGTGAAAACTAAAATCCTTGTAGCCGTTAATTGAGCCTTGACCCATCCTTGTTCATAAAGAAAACTGCCCCGTCCCAACTTTTTTGGAATGTGGTGCAGGCATCAGTTTCAGAATGAGTGTATATAAATAAGTTGATAGAACATTAAATATCTTGTCTGTGTACTGTTTTTTCATTTTAATACAGGCCAAAGTGTATTTACAAATCATTGATTTCTGTTTTCATTTGTGTTTCATCTACTGTTCTAACTTCTTTGGAATCAAGGTTTGTAATAAAAGACCCAAAAACTCAATGATGCAAGATATAGTAGATTCTAACGGGGAGCTGCTTCAGCACCTGCCTGCCATTATATGCGTGCTTTGATGCTTTGATTTCAGATGGTTCGCTGTTCTTTTCTAAGTTCTGTAATTTTCTTTTGTGAGGAGTAGTTAATTTTTACTTTTGAAATCGAACGAATGTTGATTTTTTACTTTGTGCTTCTCTTGCTTCCAGTTTCGGAGTGATTCCTACCACACCTCTACCTGTTCACACACCTCTAATGCCAAATCAAAACATCGACATCTCCCTGCCTCTCAATACCATTGGGCCAGTTATGAAGATGGACCCTCTTAACAATCTACAGGTAAAGCACCCATACCTCACCATTACTATTTTAAACCACCTTTTCTACACTCTCTTGCTACTCTCATGAGCCCACACAAACCCCTACACACTCCCACTATTATCAAGCAAATCCAACACTCTGCAAGTTTTATTGCTTTAAATTCACATCAGTAATCAGTATTTATCCCAACCCTTGAGTTCTTGACTTGAAATTATCCAACTCATTTTGTGATGATTATACTGGATTGTGTAATTATCTCACTCGCCTGTCAGAGAGATTCATCAATTTTGTCAGGAGTTTCCACCATTAAAATTAATGTTGTTTAATAACTGACAGTAACGACCGCTTGCCGGAGGCAAAGACTCTTGCCGGCTAATCAATCAGACAAAAGTGCCGGGTTCACTCCTCACATTCCACACACTTCAGGCAGACCCATTCTCACTCTGAGCTGAACTAGAGGATGCCAGTTTCACCGGGAAATGGCTTCTTCCCCTCTGGGTTCAGCCAGCCTCTCCTACTTAGCCTCTTGCTGGCAGTAGGCAGCCAGAATAAAAGCTAATGTGCCAAAACCCAGCTGGGAGGGCGTCCAGCAGTGCCGTTGCACTGCGTGTTCCGGCTTTAGCCTTCACACCTTAATGATCTGGGTTATTCTCTCCACTGCCTCCCCAGCTCGCTGTTGTGAGTGTTGTGGGGGGGGTCACCATGCATTCTTTCACATATTTTACAGTCTCCCCTTCTGCTTGCTTAGTGTCTATATTTGTGTGTGTGTGTGTATATGTGTATATATATATATATATATATGTGTGTATGTGTATATGTGTGTGTGTGTGTATATATATATATATATATATATATATATATATATATATTTATTTATTTATTTATTTATTATTATTTTTTTTTTAATTACATCATTTTGTGATGTTTTATTTATTATGGCATTCTTTTGTTAAGCTTTTAAAAATTAATCCTTGAGTAGCCACAATCTAGTGGCATAGACCACGATAACAGCTGACTAACAAAAATGAACATATGATGGCACAAGCAGCCCTTCAAACAGCTGCTACTGTTTGGTGGGCTAGTTCTATAACCTACTGGTTACAGAAACATTGACCTTGAGAAACATGTTTGATATCATTGCTCAGGAAACTGACAAAATGAAAAACTAAAAAAAGTCTAATGATGTCAATTCAGTGCGCAGTAACTTTAGCTTACATGTAGCACTATTCATATTTCAACTCTGTAATGACCTCGTAATTCAGAGGATCCGATGATCTTCGAGAAAAGAATGTTCATAAGACAAAACATTTTTGATTACCACAGGATGCGACAGAGGCAATTCAAAACTCTATTCATTCTGCTCGTAGAAAAATTCCTTTTAGACCTGGAGTTTCTTATATGGCCATGAGAGCATGGCACTGACTACCGAATGACAACACAGCTACAGTGGTCTATAACAAATCCAAACAAATTTTGGTAAAATTCAAGATTTCATGTTGACTTGAATAATTTCCTTAAAAATTGTAAGAGATTTATACACCTTACTTTTATTCTTTCACTCTTTCTTCTGCTCTGGTTAGCCTTCTTTTTTGCCCTTCATTTCTCTTTGTCTTGATCCCCCCCTCTTTCCTTTTCGCATGTGCAACACTTGAGTCTGTCCACCATAAACAGAGCCCCCTGTAGGGAGTGTTTATGAGCTTGCTGTTTGGAAGTGCAAGCTTACCTGGCTAAGGAGCCGCTGTTGTTCAGAACAGAGCTACGCTACGCACACTGCTACACAACACTGTGCTTGGGGCCGTGTGACTTACGCAAGTCCCCCATTACCAGAAACAACACCCCAGTGGCTTCATTATAGCTAATCCTTAAGTCCTTTCAGACCGGAGGTGATGGCACAGAGGCGGTCTAGTAACAGCTTAAGTGCACTCGCTTGGATAGAATCTCAGTCACAGTACTGTGCCGTTCTATCATTTTCATTACCCTTGGTTGCCTAGGATGTAATTACCATAGTGATGCCAAAAGGAAGGGATGTCGGTTCAAACCAGCTGTTTTTGTTTAGAGTTTTAGTATTTTTGGCCTCAAACACCAAGCGTGTGCTTCTGAACAATACAGCTGTGCTCTTATGATGAAAAACATTTGATGTGCTGCGATGTTGACCATGTTTCAGACAGCGAGTGTACTGTTTCAGGAGAAAACAAACAAAGCAAGGAAAGCGGCTGCAGTAGCATAAGAACCATAACACTGGGTTGTTCTCAATGGGTAATGCAGTCTCAAGCAACATATAAACTAAAACAAATAATTTAGCTTAATGTTTTGCAGTAAAGAGCTGATTCTCCGTTACAGAGATCCACTATTTTAAACAGAAACACCAGTCACATAGACTGAGCTTGTCCTACTACGACCGTTTCTCAGAGTTTCAGTAGTATATTTCCTCCCTCATTCTCCTTGTGGCTCTTACGGATTGTGTGCTGATGAGCTACACGTTGAAAATCAAGTTTTTTTGCATACAGAGTTATAAACCTGCCCCGTTGCGTTTCTAAATGTGCTACAGCTGTGGCAGAGCAGAGCTGTCAGGGCTAGTCAGTGAAGTCATTACAGCAGTAGTTTAACCAAACAGTGCTAATGTGGCTAATAACACATGAATGTGAGTGTTGCCATTTGGAGTGTTGTTGTTTTTTTATACTGTCAGTTAGGCATCTGCTCAGTGATGGTTAACTGAGTGACCATGGTAGAGCCTCCAGTGATGTTAAAACACATTTACTGCCAGTTTAAAAAAAGTTGTTAGTTTATTGATTTATTTTATTTATTTATATGCAAATCATAGCAAGACTGTAGTATTCCCACACATAAACTTAACTGAACTCCTAAACGTGTTGGGTGTTGTGATGTGATATCTTACATTAACACCATATTTATTGTACCTAGCATAGATGACCAAAGATGATTCTGTTACCAGCACAGGACTGTTGTTAGCCATGTTATATAACCTCATTTGTAGAAGAACTATTGAACACGAGTGAGCCTTCACTACCGAACAAGTGACAGCTGCTGCATAGTTATATCTTGGCTCATCTGGGGCAAATTCAGATCAATTCATTTAATATAACTAATATCCAAGGTAAATTAAATGCTGATGTTCATTACCTAGGGGGAAGATATTTAATTGAAACTCATTTTACGTCTGGAAGTTTTACTGGGAAAAAAGTTCTTAAAGTCGACAAGTAGGTCATTGGAAATCCCGAGGGGCTCTTGTGAGACTCCAGCACTGGTGCCAAATGTGAGCGGATGTGCAGTGTGCCTGTGGACTCAACATCTGTCACAACACTCACGTCACGTACACAGGTGGCAGGCTGAGGTCTGGGCTCTGTTAGGTGTGAGATCATGAAAGGCAGCAGACACTGGCCCCAGTCCTGCTCTCGAACAGTTGAAGTACCACACACTCAGCCACTTACTTAAAAAATGATGTTTCACCCACGCTAAATGAAAGTTAATGAGGACCAATTAGCAGCACAATGCCACATACCCTCTTCTAGGTTTCATTTTATTAGCAATAGATTTGGGGGGAAAACATTTATTTAAACATTGAGTTTATCTCTAATATGGGACTCTAATTGTGTTTATCTTAAAGCCAAGTATAAAAATACTATATACATTAAAACCACATTGGGAAATAGTAGGGGGAGAAATATATCATTTACCTTCTGATTGAAACAGCAGGTTCCTAACAGTACACAATTTTCTCACTACTCATCTCTGGTGGGCATTTCTATGTTTGTTATGGAAATAGGGGGACCATATTAAACATATCTGGGGCAGTAGACCACCTGATCTTATTTATTTTAATATTATGCAGAAGCTTACAATGAGGCTAAAATACAGACTTGTGGTTTTTATGCTTTGATAATTTTTACAGTGTATCAGTCGCCCAAACAAGCTAGACAGTCAGCTCGCTCAGTCTCACTAGCAAGCTAGCTACACACTAAGTAAAAAGGATTCTACTAGTACTGTAAAGGGATCTTTGGCTTACAACAAAAGTGGAATTCTTTTTGGTCATATATACGATCATTTTTGCAAGGCTTCTTTTAATAACCATGCAGTTGGTTTTCCATCATAGAGAAGATGTATGCATTCAAATGGTTCTTTGGGTGTTCGTGGTTCTATATAGAACAATTGCCTTAACTAAAGAACCCTTGAAAAGCCATTTTTTTAAGAGAATACCTTAACAAGAATCTTTGGATCTCCATTTGATTTAAATTTCGGTTCCTGCTCAAACCATGTCAACTTTTTCCGTTCTCTCAAAATCTTCGTAGATAACAGATATGCTTAAAACAAGATATTTTCAGTGTTAAAGTGTTGTGGGTTTAAAAAAGAGAAAGAGAGCCATTGTTTCCCCTCTCTGCCTATGGAAAAAGCTTTTGTTTGCCGTTTGTGACCAACGAACTAAATGCAATGCAGTGGCCAGACTTATATCCATGAACTATAAATCTGCTGAACTTTTTTTCTGCATAGTGCGGCAGATTTCGCCACATCGCAGCTGACGTACTCCATATGGATCTGACAAAGCGCTGAAATGAATGTGAGGTGGTGAAGTTGCAAATGTCTGCTTTTGTTAGCCAGAAATGTTAAGAGCATCCTAGTTATCAGGATTATGAGCTAGTTCAATATTCAAGTGAAGCACTTCAACCTTTTTCAGAACGCCATTATTATTTTTTTTTCCCCCTCTTCTTTTAGACGGTAATTTTTTTCCCAAGTTTTTGTACTTTTGACCTGTGAGCTGCTGCACTCAAGTGCACCTGCAAACGTATGTAAATGTAATCACATTACAGTGGCATTGTCTGACTTCTGTTGCGGTGCTTCCCTGTTCAGGCTTTAATGTAATGTATATTCAAGGGGCTGACCAGACTCTCCTCTGCTGCAGGTGGCCGTGAAAAACAACATAGACGTGTTCTACTTCAGTGTTCTGATCCCACTCAACGTCTTCTTCGTTGAGGATGGCAAAATGGGTATGTACCTTCTCCATGACCTCTGCACCGCACCTGTAATCACTTTGTTAGTTATATAACCTGAATTTCTTGCTCAAACCAAGCTGCAAGCTGATTGTTCCCATCTGTCTTAGTTTTCTGTTGTCTAAAAATGTTATTATGGGTTCTAGATGGTTACTATTTGTTCCTCTTTGACTCCACAGAGCGCCAGGTGTTCCTAGCCACATGGAAGGACATTCCCAATGAGAATGAGCTGCAGTACCAAATCAAGGAGTGTCACTTAAATGCGGGTAAGACCACTGGTGGAATTTTAATATCCTGATATGCAGTTTTAGAATGAAATAGACCATTAATGTTGGAGCTGCCTAAATGCCTTTGCATCATATATGGAACTCTCCATTAAGGCTGGTTAGCCTGTCCTCTCAATGACGTTAAACCACTTCACTGTTTAAAGAGATCTCAAAAATGAATTGAAGAACATCATGCCACTAATGAAGGAATGCACCTTAAGCTTCTTGTGAATCAGATTCAGAAGGCAGAGGAGTAGTCACCAACCACATCTTTTCTTTGTTTAATTCAAAATGGTTCTGAAAATTTGTATAAATTACTTACTGCTAAGAAGGCAAGAAGTCAATGCCAACCCCACTTTTTAAATTGTTTCCCAAACAAAAGACATTTGCTCAGAATGACTTGCGCTGCAGTTCCAAGAGCTGCGACAAAGAGTTCTTAGTGCTGTGAAAAGAAAATAGCCAAATAGATTGTTTCAATCCAAATTACCTTCGCCTCCATTTAGCCTTGTTTTTGTGGTCAGTTCTATGCATGTCAAGGGCTTGAATCATTTGAATGTAATAAAACAGTTTTGAGAAGTTGCAAGAGGCTTCAGTAACCATAGGGACAAGAGTTTGCATAAGTGCTTAAGAAATCTCATTTTTTGAAAAATGGTTCAAAGTTTATTTTTACTTTTCTTGTTCAGTGTTAATCATTTAGTCTGTTAATACCTTTGCAAGTGTAATCTGATGTGATCACTTCATAGATGTCGGACAGGAGAGCAGCTGTACATGCAGATGCTGTAAAAGCAGGTCTCAGGTCTCAGCAGACTGCTATTTGTACTTATCAGCCAGGAGCTAATTTACCCCAGCAGTGCAAGCACCAGTGGGACATAGTCAATCGAACATGCCTGTTTAACGCACAGTCATGCATTAAACGCCATATTAGTAATGCACCAAACTGAAAATTCTTTGCCAGAACCTAAATTCTGGAAACACTGGCCCAAAAGATAGAAACAGCTTACATAAAATAAACATGCTAAAATGATTTTGTATGTAGGCATGTACGTGCAGTATATGCCTATATAATCCAACCTCCTCAACAATGGAGTGGTTCATCATCCAATGCAATGATTTTCATTATATTTTAGTTATACTTTTGTATATTTAATACAAAATGTTTAACTGTCTTTTCAAAAACTGCTTCCAAAATTGACTTCAGTGTGCTCACAAGGACATTTCTTCTTTTGTTGTTTTGCTGTATTCTGTATATTGAGCGGCATGTCATGTTTTGATGTGATATTACACCTGTGATGGAGAAGTTCTTGAGAGTTGACTTGCTGCTGCTTAAACTGTTTGAATGCATCTGTGCTGACCAGTTCATGAAAGCGAACTGTTTTTATTACTATTTCTCATTTTCATTACCATTAATTATTTGTAAAGCTTTAGATTTTGAAACTTTGTTGCAAGCCTGAATTTCCATTAGCTATTTACTGCAATTTTAGTCATGCAGTGCCAGATGTGATCTCGTAATAAGAATACACGTTTACACTTTTGGGTATACATCTACACTTAAAGGGCATACCGCCTCTAAAACCTGCCCTCAATTCTAGTTCATGCTCTTTTAACATTTGGAGTACTGTTGTGAACACAAGCAAACCAAACTAGAGAGGTAATGTTTATTTTACAAAATGTAATGCGTTCGTTGTATATGTGACACACACTCATGCTTAATTGGAGATTTAATTGGAGTGTCTTTTCAGCCACGCTAACTTCCGTTACATCTGTGGCCTATCGACAGGCTTGTTGATGAGTACACCATCATCTACTCAGCTGGGCCTCCTCGAGATGTTGGATAGGAAATTTCAAAGTCAGTTTGTTTCCACCCCAGTTAGTCTTTGTTCTCACCCACATTTAGCCCAAAATATCTAATGGTTGTCCCTAAACATTCTTGTTACATCTAGGGGCTGCAATTTAGTCCAAGACTAGACTTAATCCATGTGGGAGAAACTGGTCCTTAGACATTAGACGTTTTCACAACAGCTGCTACAAACAAATGTGTTTGTGGGAGGAGCTTGAATGACCAACAGTGACCAAGTCTTTTGTTAGCTGTTTCAGGTTCACTAGAGCAGTGAAGAGCTTTGAATGTTCAGTTCTGTGGCTGTGTAGAAGTCAGAGAACCCTGTTGAATTTTATGTCCTGTACCTGTGTTATCATTTATCACTGGTCATTGTTTGTGTTGTATACATGTGCAATACATTCATAAAAGTTTCATCAAAGGCAGCTTGGCTGCAGCAGAGTTTAAATGCTGTTCATTTTGTTGGGTACCTTTTCTAGTGGTGTTCTAGGATGGCTGTTTAAATTCAGTTTGTGGTTTCAGGGCTTTGACCAGTGGGAATACCAAGGCTGGTATAATGACATGATGTTTTTCCTATTGCTGCTGTTTGTAGCCTGCTGATTGCTCTTACTTGTTTACAGCCGTTGTGTAACAGAGGTGTGCAGGACTGAAACACAGTGCCAAAGGAAATAGAAGCTTCTGTTTGGGTGCTTAGAAATTGAATGTCTCCCCTCCTCCCCCCACACTAGTTGTTTGCCAATGTATGAAGCATTGTCCTAAATACAGTAGTAATATGGTTTCCAGTTGATGGAGATGAGTGCAGATCTTCAAACCCTGATATGCAGCTCCCAGCAATTTGTGTGTGCAGTAATTTCATTTTTTTTGTGTGTGTGTGTCTGTGGGTCGATATTTTTATAATGACACCCCTTGAGTCATCACAAAGACCCTTAAGTAGTTTTTCAATATGAATGCTGTTCCAGTTCTCGCTCTCTTTCTTCCACTGACTCTCATTGTGATTCTGCAATAATGTTTGTTTCCCTCTCGCCTGTAGGAGAAGAAGCAACCTCTAATCTTAGCATGACAGGAAGGAGAAGTCAGTAGTGCGTTTTACGCATTGACTTTCTGTCCACATCTCATGCAGAACAAGCACTCACAAAAGGCCCTTCTCATCATCACATTATCAGGGCATTGTCTTTCATGTGGCAGTGTTTTTAATTTTATATGACTCGCTCTTCCAGCTATTTTTGTCCTCATAAAACTGTGCTCTGTGCTCTGTTTCTAAAATAACAGTTAATTTTATCATTACTTGCTTATTTGCCTGCAGCTCAGCAACCAAGACTCGCTCTCACTTATGCTCTCTCTCGCTCTCTCTCTCACTGGCTCTTTCCCTTTCTCTTTCTCTCTCTCTCACTTGCTCTTTCTCACTCACTCTTCTCCCTTTCTCCTTTATTGCTGTCACTCTCTTTTATTGCTCTCACTCTCTTTTATTGCTCTGTTTTCCTCTCAATATGTTTTTCCTTTTTTTATTGCTCTCTCTTTCTCTCTCACCCTTTCTCTTTTTTTCTCTTTCTCTTTTATTGCACTCTTACTCTTTTTCTCTCACTCGCTAGCTCTCTACCTCTTTCTTTCTTTCTCCCTCTCTGTCACTCTCTCTTTTTTCGATTACACTTGCATGCACTGTCTCATACTGTCTCTTTCTCTCCCTGCCTCGGACTTGGACACAGGTTGATTCAGGCACTGGGCTCTTATCGAGTCTTCCACATATGTGCATGCTGCAGTTATTTTTAAGGGCAGTTTTGACAGCAGCAGGCCAGGAGGGTTCCCTGCCCAGTGAAGCGGGGCACAGGTCCTGTGGGAGGGGAAGGATTCATCTTTGCCCAACATTCTTACTTCTTCTTCTTCTCTCTTTCTTTTTGCTCTCTGCAGTTCTCTGAATTTATTTTCATTATGGTTGCTTTATTTGGTCCTGAAGTATTAAACCTCACCTTGTATATTTTGGTGTTTCCTGTGCTTAAACGTATCAAATCGGCTCATTAACAAGTAGAGTTGCATGACATAGCAGGATAGCATATTGCGATTATATTGCTACAGATTGCAATTCTGATGAACGTTACAATATGCTAAAATGAAATGTGGTGAACAATTGATGAATTAAAGATTGAGTTCATTGTTTTAGCCTGAATTATATATGAAGGGTTTTGTTCCAAAACACATTATAGACTATTTTCGATATTATGGACTGTTTTCATTTTTTTCCATGTGTTGTTGGGAGTAGGCTTTACGCATACAAGAAATACCAGTGCTGCTGTATTATAATTAATACCACCTTTATTAGAGAGATGCAAAAATGTGTTTTCCATTAAAATCAGCTGTTATTCTTTTGAAAATTACAAATGTGTATTTACAGCATTTGGAATAAAACTCTTCATATGGTCCTAATTGTTTCATTTTCTGGACTGTGTAAATGCTTGGATTCAACACCCACAGATTGGTCAGGATTTGCGCAGCACAAACAACAACCCGTTTTGTGATTTGTTAGAGAGCTCATTTACCTATTGTTGCCTATTGAAGGTTTGAAAACCATTGATGTAGATGACTATATGAGGTGCCATAAATATTTTTTTAATAGCGTTAGAGCTGTTCTTCTTAAAGATTTTTTTATAGGTTGGAAAGTTTCACTGTTATGAAGCATCTTTTTAGGTCTATCTATTTATCTTTCTCTATATCTGTTAACTTGGTCAGTAATTCCTGTCTTTCTGTTTCTCTTTCATTCTACTTTTTATCTGAAAACGCTCACAGTTTCATCCCTCCCACCTGCCCCTCTGCCTTTTGTCTGTCCAATGCCCATTCAGTCTGATGACCTGCCAGCACTCTGCTTGTCTGATCTCGGTGCGATAATCCATCCTCGGCTGTGGACCATCAGCTTTCTGTCGTGCTGCAGCACTGTTCTGCTGGGCTAGATCTGTCAGGGTCAGAACTTCAGCAGTGATAGAACCTCTAGCACAACACTAGATATCAGCCTTACCCTCAATCACTGCTTCAACACAATATCTCTCCATTCTGTCAGCGCTCTGTGTGACCATCCGTTAAATCTGTGCTGCCTCCATCTTGGCTCCAGATTTAGACACAGACTGAACAGAAAGTATAACTGTTTGGCTGATTTGGCTTGTATGTAAAGTAAGCAGCTTTGTGTAGCCTTCCCACTTTCATTCTTTGTGAATCTAAGAAAACACGTAGTCGCTCTTTTCAACTGCAGTATGCGTAAAATAGATTAAATTGTTTATTTTCTGAGTGGTAGCAATTAGTTAGATGCTTTTTGACATTCATTTCAGTTGGTCTTATTAATTTTTTTGATCGGTCCTTGCTAAATATTTGAGCAGCAGCATTTTGAATGAAATGCATAACGAACATAATGAATCTGTTCAATACTGGATTATCTGCTGCAAACAAGAGTACGCCCCTCTAAGATCTACCCCTGTATTCCTCTACTCCCATTCTCTTTTAACGCCTGAAGTAGGGTTGACGACACAAGCAAAATTTAGCTAGCGACGTGTTAACGTTAACTAACGGAACTGTGTTGCCTTGAAAGAGGTAATTTCCCTAAAGGCTATTTTTTAAACTGCGTGTAATGTTTCTCGTGCACATGCTTAATTAAAATTTTTTGGTGGGGCTTTTCAGCCATGCTAATCATCCATGAGCTAACAACAGGGTTGTTGTCTGTTAGACAAAGTGATGAGTGCACCATCTAGCCTACTTTGAGCTCCGCCTTCATGAGACATTGGATTGGTTTAGAAATATCACTCTTAGTTTGTTGCCACACTAATAAGTCTTTTTGTTCCCACCCTAATAAGGCCTACATTTAGCCCAGAAATTCCTCATGGTTCTCCAAACATTCTCTTTACAAGATCACATCTGGCCTTGTGAGACTACTCTGACAGATGAATGATTTAAAAAATGGAGACATGTAGGATACAGTGTACATTATAGATAAATGTGGGTTAGTGTTTCATTCCTTATAGCCTTCCTTATAGTTGTTTAGGCTTTCATGGGGAATTTATGAAGAAGTCATGATAATGAGTGACATCAAGTTACTAGCTATTTCTGATGCTAATGTCGTGCAAAACTGCAGGGGACCAGTTAGCAGGATCTGCCATTGCCACTGGGCCCCTAGTAGTGTTTATATATTATTCACAGTATTATTATTGTTTGTGGATGAAGCATTTTGTGATTGCTATTTTGAGCTTACTGTGCTAGTGGTTTAGATTAGTTTTAATATACCTTCTGTATAACTCTCTGTATTTCAGTCATGTTCTGGAGTTATTTTGCACTGTCACTGACACAAGACACTGTGACCAAGTGAAGTGTGACCGTGTAACTGACTGTGTGTGCGCTTTTGTGTATGTGTGTGTGTGGGTGTGTGTGGCCCCTGCAGACACTGTGTCAGGCAAGCTGCAGAATAATAACATCTACACCATCGCCAAGCGCAATGTGGAGGGCCAAGACATGCTGTACCAGTCCCTGAAACTCACCAACGGCATCTGGATCCTCGCCGAGCTCCGCATTCAACCAGGCAACCCTAACTACACGGTAAAAGCCCTCTGACATTCTCTACTGTTGGATATTTTAGAGATGCATGATGATGTAAATCATGTTAGCATTGGCAAATAATTGCTTAAAAGTGATCTGCGTCAGACACGTTTAGATTTGACTTATATCTCAAACCAATATTTAATGACGTATATTGTAGGGGATACCAGAGAGGGTTATAACATTTGAGGTAAGTTGTAACACCCCTGGTTTCATCAGAAATAAGCTACAGGGGTGATACCTTTACTGTGCACAACCACCACTCTCCTGAGCTGAGGTTTCAAGACTATGTGTGAAACAGCAATGTGTTTATGTAACAAAGTCTGGTTTTGAGGTTTAAAATCAAATTTCTTGTGTTGTTGTCCAGCAATGTCCTGACTGACCAGGACAGTTGTAACACAACATAATGAACATCTTACAGGAATCCTTTCAACTAAGCTAAACCTTAACTGTCAGTAGAATTTTCAGTATCATTATTTTTCCTGTTTGTTTCCTGCTCTGAATGAAAGAAAACAGACAAATTATTTTGTACTCCACTTATGGTTGCAACCTACTCTTTTAGAGAGACAAAAAGAGTTACAACTCTCCTTGATCTCTCCTACTCTGGAAGAGCAGAACGCGTTTGCCATATGTTGGGCAACTGTGTTTAATTTTACTGAATTTGTAACCTTATAGTAAAAATGTTACATTTATCCATAATGCTAATCCAGACAGATGTAATCCAAATTCCTATACTTTCAAAACGTGTATATGTCAGCAATTGGCAGATATGTTTGGCTCCAGCCCACAGTTCTCCTATTAGTGCATCCCTAATATATTTATCATATTGAGTGCATAAAGGCAGCAGTAAATGGTGATGGACAGTGCCTCCTGTAACTGCAGGGGTGAGAATATAAGAAAATAAATGCCAAACACAGCACACAGTCTTTCTCACTTAAATGCAAAAAAGAGCAGCAGTAACATAGGAGTATAAAAATGCAGAATCAAAATCTAATAAAATTTTTTATTAGTTTTACATTACAAATACTATTCAGCTGCTCTAAAATTTGACTATATTCTTAGAGGCTTGTTAGAAATGTTTGTTAAACACCAGCGCACACAACTTGACTCATTCCTTTCATTTGATTTTTACAGATTTTAGTGTTTTTCTTTTTTTTTTTTTCCATTACCACACAGTTGTGTAATGCTGAGCCTGCGTCATCACTGAACTCCAGTGCAATGTGATGAATGTGATGAATGTGTGTCCCTGAGAGACTTTACATTCTGCCTGGCTGGCTTTTTGTGCGTTTGAAAAGAACAGGAAGGTCAAATGGACTTTGATTTTGAGTAACAGCTTACACTTAAGTCCAAAGATTGATCGATCTCCAATTTGTTGTAGCGTACGCAGACCTGTGAGATCCCCTATGACGGATGCTGTAGGTTGTAAAGCTTTTCCATCTCCCCATAAACAGCTTTCTTTCTCCCTTTTTTAAGAATCTTTTTCCTGTGTTCTTGAGGATAAAATGTTTTTGAATGAATGCCAGAGTGCACTGACTTTCCTCTCATCATTACATTCCGTTTTACACTCCTAACACATCCTTACATAAGCTGAGCTTTTGTCATGAAACAGAATATTAATTTCAGCCATTCTGCTGAACGCTAAACAACGTTACCAGTGCAGATCCCTGAGTGGCCACACTAAGAACGTTTTACATTTTCCCCAGTGGGAGGGCAGACAAGGTGACTCTTGCATTGCAGTGTTCGCATATGACCCGCTGCGCCATCACCATCAAAGAAGGACACCTTGTGAGGACGGAACATTACCATAAAGTGATTATCACGCTCTCTGCTCTTCACCCCACCTTTCATAGCTGGATTTTTTTCATCATGTTGGCAGGATCTGTCAAAGCGTGGTATTTAGGCAGTGGAAAATGCCCTCACTTTTAAAAGATTGAGGTGTATTTGTACTATTTTGCCAGTTTAAAACAAAAGCATGAGTGAGTATCTGGCTGTCTGACAAGTTAACAAGAGCTTTTTATCCAACGCTGGCTGTAATCAGACATTAGAGTGCTTGTGTGCAGAGCACTGGGGCCAAGCGCCTTTTTTATGCAAACTTCTGCACTCAACGTAAGGCCCAGCTGAATGCATTAATCCCTTGATTAGAGGCAGCCACCCCTGGAGCATTCCAACAGGCATCTGCTTGGGCATTGCTGCGGGGCCTGATTACCTGGACCCCCCTGAGACTGGCCCTGCCTGGCCTGATCAGAGGTGGATCCGGTCCTGCTGTAATTGATTTTAATGGGTATTTTAGCCCTGAGTATCGTGACAGCATTGTCTTGGCTGGGCTTTGGACTGATGAGGAAAGCTTCAGACCAGCTGGGTTCCACCCAGGGAGCCAGTGATGAAAATATTTAGTGTAGAAGCCACTGCACAGGCCTGCCAGAGCCATTGTTGGAGGGCAACAAATGGAGAGAAAGCACAGATTGATCAAATGATCCACATAGTACCGAGATGCAGTCACAGGGTAAATATTTTTACAGTTTTTGACAAAAAAGTGATGTCTAGTAATGAAACGTTTACTTTTTAGTCAAGGAATATTCCTTTGTAGAATTTAAATGAAAAGTCTCTGTTTAAAATAATTTGCAGCGTCCAACACATTACATATGGAAACAATTCCTACGTTGTTCAAAGAGAACAATATTCCGTGAGGATGACTCTCAGTTAGAGCTGGACAGTAGTCATAGTGCTTTTGCCAGAGCCGAACACAATGCCATTCACACCCTCCTATCTACACTTCCAAGCCAGGCGCGCATGAGCTTTCATATATTATGTTCAGCCTGCATAGTTAAATCCTTTGTACAGTCTTGTGTAATTAAAAGCGGCATGCACATTGAATAGAGTTAGCTTAATGGCATGAAGCAGTTGATGCACAGCTCTTTATGACTGTGCTTTTGTTAAGAACTCCCCAGAGTGAATGGTAGGTCATTCATTGCTTAGGAACGGTGTAAGGACAAACTGTCCAGCCAAGCTGGCGAACAGTATGACTGAGCTTGTGTTGACTTAGAATTACAGGTGCAGTTAGGCAAAGTACACAAACATAGAGTGTTGATGACTAATGTTGGACAATATTCATCAAATTTAATGTCATTTTGCTTTCCAGCATTCATTTGGATTAGATTATATGTAAGTTAGCATTAAGAAGGTTAAAGCCTCCTGAGTCTGGTACTTTTGTCTCTGTGGTTCTCAAATCCTAACCCTAACCCCCTAGGAGCACTCGTTTAAGAACCACTGCTCTATGTTAAAAGATTTTTTTACAAACCCGATCTTAGATGTGGAAATTGGGGGTGCTGTGAGGGCTGTAGCATCACCAGATTTCAGGATTGTTTAACTGCAAATGCTAGCAATATATATATATATATATATATATATATATATATATTATATATATATTATATTTTTTTAATAAAACTGTTCTGTAATGTGTTATGTCCTGACATGTTGTGCATATGACAAATAAACTTGAACTTAAAAGAAATAGAGCATAGTAAAGACTTATTTATGCTTTAGGGTTGTTTCATATTTTCAGAATCTGTAGTATAGTATATATATGTGTGTGTGTGTGTGTGTGTGTGTGCATATATATGAGTTGTGATTCCATGCATTCTGTGTTGTATACATTGTAAAAAGACAAACAACAACTAAAAAAACAAGTTGGCATATATTTTTTGCATGAAGCCACAGGGTGTTACATACATGCCATTTAGTGTTTCAGCATTCCGAACATCAAACAACTTCCCGTGTTCCTGAACCTGATATTTACTTTCTCCATTCGTGTTTTTCTGATATTCTTAAAAGACACATGTATGCACAACAGGGCAATTTCTAAAGGAACAGAACAATAGAATATTCTGTTCACCTAAAAATGAATTAAACATACACCTTAACTCAGGGGGGGTCACAGCTTTTCAATGAAACTGTTTGACATTTTGATAGACTGTGATTGTTTTCATTAGCTTAGAGAGCACTTTCTACTCTGTCATTGTGTTAATTACAAATTTTCACTCTCACTCTTTCTGTTTTTTCTTTCTTTCTTTCTTTCGTTCTCTCTGTCCTTCCTTCCTTCTCTCTCTCAGCTCTCTCTGAAATGCAGGGCTCCAGAGGTTTCTCAGTATGTGTACCAGATGTACGATGCCGTGCTGAAGAATTGAATCCTCTCTCCATTCCTCCATCTCATCATCCTCCACTCATTCCTGTGGTACAAGAACAAGCTACACCTTTTTTTTCTTTTTTCTCCACACTATTTTCAAATGCATCTGTTAGGATTTATGTTTTTTCTCGTGTTGAGTGTCCCAGAAGCAACCACATGCATTCCGCTCAAGCGTCTTTGTGTTGTGGATAAAGTGTAGATGGTGCATTGTGCCTCTTCCTGTGTATTCCCTCTTCCCCCTGCCATTAAGAAACATGAATGAGTCTGATTTCATTGCATACGCTTTTACGTGACCTGTATTTGCAATACTTGACCATTCCACTGGTAAAGAAAAAAAGGAAGACAAACAAATAAGCGTGCTTGGTGGTGATGTTTCAGGAGCCATGCCACTTTTCACATCTCAGATTCACATTCTCAGGCAGGATCCGTGCGACCGATACACAAGAGTTTTTTGAGCCAGCATGGCCTCAGTAGCCAGTAGGAGGCAGGTGAGAAAGCAGGGTGCAGTGCAGAAGGAAGCAGGTGTTTGATTTCTTTTCCACTGAGAAATACAATAGAATGCCAGTGTTTACTTACAGTGTAGTCTTATCAACGGTCGCTACTTCAGAACCACTATATTCAGCAGCTACCGAGACCAGAGCTCACCAACCCAGCAAACATCAACATTCTAATGCTGCCTGTTTTAGATTGCTTGCAGAGCTCATGGACCAAATAAGCCAGAGTACATGGAAGAGAACATTCTAGAAAAGTGCGAATGGGGGTGAATATTCTAAAACAGTGTAAAAGAGAGACAGCATTCTAGATCTGTGTTAATGGGGAGAACGTTTAAGAACAGCTCGAAGAGGGAGAAAGTACTAGAACGGTCAGGGGGAAAGAACGTTACGTGCGAATGGGGGAGAGCAGATGGGGCGAACATTCCACAACAGTGTGAATTGGGTGCACAACATTCTAGAACGCTATGAATGGAGAGAATGTTCTAGAACCATGTGCCTATTCAAAAGCAGTGTGAACGGATTGAACTTTCTAGAATATTATGAATAGAAGACGTTCCAGAACAAGGGAAACATTCTGGAACAGTGTGAATGGGGGACAGTGTTCTAGAAGCGGAATGGGATGAACATTCAAAAACAGTGTAAATGTGGTGAACATTCTAGAACAGGGTGAATTGGGGAAAACATTCTAGAACTGTATGAATGGGATGAACTTTCTAGAACAGGGTGAATGGGGGTGAATGTTTTAGAGTCTCCCAACAATCACACACCGGTATGGCACACCAGGTATTTGGGTTTGTCGGTGTTTGTTGGGTCTGTGTCCTCTGGTCGGGTCAAGTCGTGCCATCATTTCAGATTTTGCCTTTTCTTCACTCTCCTGTTCTTTTTTTTTTTTGCCTTTCCTCAGTTATGCCTATGTATCTGTTTTATGTGCCCCATTATTTGTGAGAAACTGTGAAGCTGTGCTTTGCCAATTCTGTGAGTAATGAAATAAGCTTTGCATGCCTTATAGCATATTCTTATAGCACCTACTAATGTGTAGAATTTTTCAGCCTCCCCATGTTTCCGAACGTGACTACACTCCATATTCCTACCATTATCATTAAGCAGCTCGGAGTCTGGCAGTATGTAGATGTTACTTGGAACGCTTTCGGCTATCTGATCCTCTGTTCGTTTTTAGACTGAATGCAGCCAGAATAGTCACTTGGACTCCTCTTATCCCGTTATCACATTGCTGTATGGTCCTGTGCAGTGATCTTGTGTACTGTGATGATATAGATTAGGCTCTTCTTAGGGTTATACCATCTATGGATATTATAAACTCCTCCTCCAGTAGTAGCATATGTTCTAGTTCTGTCTCAACACTAGAATTCCAATAAATAAAGTGAACAAATATCCAACCGTTTAGATGTTTTACAATTAACATTCAGTGGAACTAAATCTTTGAAGGAACCATGCTAATAAGTGTGTATGTTATGGTAGTATGGAAAAAAGTAGTGTAGGGTCGTCCTGTTTCTTTGTTGCCAGAAATGTTTGTGCCTGTGAAGCTGCATGTAAGCAGTGTCCATTACTTTTAAAAAGGAAAAAAAAATTACTATATATGAGCCATGTACATCTTAAAATCCCATTAAGACCGTATGGGATCATCTGGAATTTCTGCAGTAATGGTGTGTGTTCATTTATGAAATGTGCTTGAATACCAAACATGACGTAATCGTGCCAGTGAAAAAACAAATTAATCACAGTTGTTGAAATTGCTTTTTTTGTATTATTTTACTCTCTTAATGCTAATATTTCAAGTAGAGACCTGCCTTTGTGTTGTCTTTTGGCCTTTTCCTATTATAATACAGGCCTGCTTCCTCTGCCAGAACTAAAGCCTCACAGTCATTCCTCTTTCCTTTGTTATCCTCTTCCCTCCTTACTGCCAATGTTTTACTTCATGTATTTTTCATTTTCAATAAAATCCTCACTGACCGTATCGCCTGGGCATCTCTGTCTTTCTCCTCAGTCCTGAATAGAGTCAGACTTTTCAGATAATGTGTCTGGATGCAGCTGTCTGATCGCAGCTCTCCTGTCTGATTAGCCATGTGTAATCTCTTCCCCCTATGAGAACGTCTAAGCCGAATACCAAATACCAAAAAGGGTACTTCTATTGGAACAATCCTGATATAACAATAGCAGAGCCCTTTTTGGTGCTATAAAGAACCCTTTCACGATGCAAAGAACCCTTTAATCATGGAAAGGGTTCTCTGAATATCTATGATTCTATATAGAACCATTTTCTTTACTAGAGAGGTAGTAAACTGGAAAGTATGTATTGGGTATACTGATGGATTTGTACTCTTCTGAATATTTTCAAAAAACAGGTAGAAAAAGTACAGAGCTGTTATACTGCAGTTTAAGTGTTTTATTAAAATCTTACTCAAATTCGGAAGTACAGAGTCAAAAATACATGCAAGTAAATAGTATACAAGAATGAAGTATGTAAAAGTAACAAATGTTTTAACAAATCATGGTTTTTTTTTTGGTGGTCTACCAACTGTTGCTTATTATATTTAACATAGATGAAGCATTACTTTATTACGTTTCCATACATTGTAATAAAGTGTATATGTTCATGAAGAGATGGGAGATTAACACAAGTGAAATAATGGCTTACTTTAAGCTGCAAACCTAGCTCCTGTCACTATCAGCACTGTTACTAGAGTGATTCTAAGAGGTGCCGTTTAACCCTTGTAACTTTGAAAAATGCATCTTCTAAAGCATTTTTTTTTTTTTTCAAATTTTTCAAATTTTCAACATTGTTTCCAAGAAAACATTGACTTTCTCAGGAACGGTATCTTGTTTTTTTCTGCAAGACAACTTTGCTGAAAATGGCTTGAGGTTTTTTTTTTGGTTGTTTCTTTGTTTTTTTAAGCATAGAATTAGCAAACACATAAACTGTGATTAAAAAGCATCCATGCTAACGACATGAGGACTTCAGGGAAGTTCCAGTGATTTACTTCTTTTTTTTGTGAATATTACACTGAAAATAATGAAAAAAAATGAAAGAACTTTTCTTCTTCCTATGATCTTAAGGCAATTCAACTGATGCAGCTTCCTGTTGGGCATGAGACTTTTAGAATACTCCAAAGTTGGGCGGGGACAGAATACTTTTCTAGGTGCTGTAAATAGGAAGACAAAGGTGATAGATAGGCGGAATCGGTCTGTTTGAAGGGCAGGGGTGAAAAAAATAAAAAGGGCACCTACTGCACAACATGGGGCCCCACCAGCTATGATGCATCATGTATAGTAAAAAAGTCTTTATCCTTGACTAACACTATTAGGCGATCCAGATTACACAGGGGACTATAAACTTTTAAAATGTTTCTTTCACAAACACTGTCACAGTAAAACACAGAGGGAACTGTAAACATTTGTTCTACTAACACACACACACACATACACAGATGTGATGATGTCAGTGAGAAGGCTGTGATTTGGGAGGTCAGTAGTCAAAAATAGTCAATTGAAAAAATTATTAATTGAAAATTGTGTTTGGATGGTTGAAAAAATGCCCAAGAGGGTTGAAATACTGGTTAATACTAATATTAGTTAGCTAGCTTCTTAGTTTGTGGTGATACTGTATCTATTAAAGCATTTGCAGTGTATATACATTAATATTTAGTAATGCATCATTGGTAAATCTCAGTCTTTACAATCAGGAAAGCTTGCTGTATTACCCCCCTTCACACACTCAGGCTTTATTAAACCCCTCTGGCATCTGTGGCTCAAACTGAACACTTAAATGGATGGAATAGATGTATGTTTTTAACAGTTGGAATGAGAGTTTTATATCTTTTGTCATCACTGGCAGCAATTTAATTTTTTTGCGTTTTATCAATCTATCTATCTATCAAATACACTTAACTTTAAATGATCTAAATTTAATGAATTTAACTTTAGAGGTGCACTGAAAGATAAAAACAGGGACAGTGCAGATGAGTCATCAACATGTTACCTATATTAGCCTAATTTATTGACCCCTTGCAAACCACAGAAAAGGTGCATTCAAAATCTTATTCAAGGATTTGGCAGCACCCCTAGACTTTCATCACGGTACCCACTTTGAGAAAGGCTGACCAAGATGGCACGTTGTTGAGATTTTTTTCTCACCATTGCAAGGACGCTTCATCGTGTTTTCTCACTTGGAAGGGCATCTAAGACCACCTAAGTCATAATTTTTCTTTTTTAATCAGAATGTCCTGTTTATCTCATTGTGGGGACACCTATGGCACCACGTCCTCTCGTTTTAGTGATGATTCTCAACCAATAGGCCACCTTGCCCCTCGCCCTCCTCTGAGTCTGCCAGTGTCCATGGCGCTCTTCATAGCCTTAAAAAGCCTTTATTGTAGCATGTCTAATATGTTTCGTGTTCAAGGCCATGCACAGTTAAGGATTTTTAACTCGGTGAGAAGCAGTGAACGGATATTCACCGCTTCTCAGGCTATTGAAACTCAATCTATTATAAAGCACATTCGATATTTGTGTTAATTTCCCCACCAGTACCACCTTCTGTGTTTGTACTTTTTGAAGATTGCAGTAGATATGATTCATTAATGTTTTGTAATTAATCATAAGCATGCACATAGGGTTTTATGTGAAGGGCACATGTTTAAAATGTGTTTTACCTTCATTTTACATATTTGTAACATCAGGACAAAAACTGCACCCTAAATGTGGGATCACCCACCAACCTGTAGACACACACACACGTTAACTACCCTACTTATCCTAATGGGTCGCAAGGAGGGAGCTGGAGCTCATCCCAACGGTCAGCAGGGCTGAAAATATCAATTTCTTAAAAAAAAAGTCAATCAATGGAAACTTTTTGTGACCCACTGACAGACCTGTACCTAAATACTTGAAGGGAAAGCCACTGATTTTTAAATTAAATGGTTCAGATGTAAACAAACTCATTCAGAGTGGTTGGATGTGCTCGTTCTAGAGAAACTTCAGAGTCAGAATTATTAACAATGGTGGTGATAGGAACCAGACGTCTGAAGAATTTAACACCTCTAAAAGCTTCTCAACAGAAAGTTATTACATGAAATGGTTAGATATACACTGTCTGATGTCTGAGACATTGTTTTATAACAGTTTTTGATTAAGTTGTGGCTTAAACAGTATTTTAATCCATTTATTTTAATCCATCCATGGCGGAAGGGTACATGCAGGGCATTCTAAGGCAAACAATAGTCCCTAAAGAAAACATTTTTTTTTTAGATTTTCTACTCTTTTACCATCATCGATATCACCCTTTAATACAGCCGGTTTTAATCACACATATAAAGCTGTTTAATGACCCCCTCCACCGAGTCTGACAGATGGCGGACGTTTTTATGAGGTTTTGTCCTCTCAGCTCGAGAGTTCACAGCTCACTAAACCTCAGCGCACTCACACCTGGACACATCTGGACAGAGAGGGTAAGTGACGTGAGGGGACAGGTACGGACCACGTGGTTACTTAGCAACAAGGCGAAAAGACTGTGTTGCTAAGAAACAGCCGCGGTGCTGCACGTCCAACGATGCGGAATCGTGCACATGTTGTGGAGTAAAAGGAGGGAACAAAACGCTAAAACTTGTCCATAGCGCAGCCGGCATGACGAGTACAGCGCAGCACAGACAAAAAGCGTGACACGGACCGCAGCGCTGCACGCAGCCCGCCGTGCCCCTCTGAACGCAGCGTCGCCGTGTTTATCTCTCGCTCTCTGAACGCCTTCTCTGCTCAGAGTGCTCGTTCCGCTCACTCGTCCTCCTCTCAGAGCTGCAGAGAGCCGGTTCGAATCAGTCATCGAACCGACTCTTTCGAATCGGTCTGTTCCAGTGCATTAAATGATTAATTGATTCACAAGTCAACTCAGTTCGTTCTTAACTCGTCCAGTGAGCGAATCTGAAATCGCTGATTTTGGTGGAGACTACGAAGCCCTGCTGGTGACATCCTGTATAAATAAAAATAACGTGTGGCCACGACTTAGTAAGGTGTGGGAACGAGATCCTCATGTGTGGCCACGACTCAGTAAGGCGTGGGAACGAGATCATGTGGTCAAGGCTTGATTATCTAATTCACCTGCCTTATTAAGTCGTGGCCACACATTAGGATCTCATTCCCACACCTTACTAAGTCATGGCCATGACTTAGTTATCTCATTTGAACGCCTTACTAGGTTGTGGCCACAACTTAATTATCTCTTTCCTACGCCTTACTAGGTCGTGGCCATGCATTATTTTGATTTCTAGAGGATGACACCAGCAGGGCTCTGTAGGAGACGGACGTGGAATACACAAAACAAATATCAGCATGATGAAGCAGCTACAGTCTACAGAGAGAAAATGTAAGCAACTTCAACAGAGCCCCTCTAACATTCCTTATGGAAAAAGATCTGTAGTAGAGTTACATACATTTCTACAGAAATCTGACATATGGCAATATACATACATACATACATCATCTAAACAGCTTATCCTTCTGGGTCGCGGTGGGGTGCTGGAGCCTATCCCAGCTGTCATTGGGCGGAAGGCAGGATACACCCTGGACAGGTCGCCAGTCCATCGCAGGCCCATATGGCAATATATGAATTTCAAATAAACATGGATATCCAATATATTTCCCATTTTCAAATATGGAACATATATTTCAGCCATATATAAACATATATAAACATATGTGAAAAACATATTTAACAATAAATGATAGAAAACATTATTCATATATGGACTATTCATATATGCTAGCTTTAACAATTAATTCTGGGATTTAAACCTCCTATCAGACATATGCATTGGTTTTCCTACCTGTCATACACACACACACACACACACACACACACACATATATATATATATATATATATATATATATATATATGTGTGTGTGTGTGTGTGTGTGTTTGATACTTACATATATGTACACAACGTATATTAATAAATATTTTAAAATGCCCCCTGTCATTATTCTAGTTCTTTTTTATTGATAAAGTGTGGTGATTCAGGTTTTATTTGTAAAAGATTAGTGTTGTTTTCTAGTACATATTGTATTAGAAGCCGAACGTGAACAGTACGGAGACGTTCAAAGTTCGAACTTGTGAATCGGTTCAAATGAACGATTCGTTCACGAGTCGAACATCGCCTATCAGCGCATTTTAGGCACTGGAGGGAGGGATGGATTGAGGGAGGGAGGGATGAAAGGGGAGCCCTTGTTGACCACCATATCTCCATCTGCTGTCAGTGACTGACTTAAAGCCTTTCGTTTTTTGCCCCCACAGTCAGCCTGTAAGAGCACTAAGCCAGGTAACGTGTTCAGGGTGAGGGTCCTACTGCGTACAGGTTCCTGCTTTCCTTTTTCTGTACATTCCCTCCTCCAGCAGAGCGCTGGCCTAGCTGACGGGCATTTAGACCTGGTTTGTGTATGAGGGCTGCTCCACGGACCAGAGGAGGATGTGCCTGCAGGACAGCTGCTGCTGTTCCCACCTGGAATACCCATGCACCGGGGGACGAGCAGCCGGAGAAAAGTCGTGAAAAGTCCGTTTCGCATCGACTGCGCGGGGCTTGCGGCAGCCTACTCACTGTACACGGCCGAGCTTCTCACCTGCGATCAAGGTACGGTGCTGAGAGTTGTGTCCCCTCACCAAGAACACGTTTATTCAAGCTTAACCAGAGCACTCTTAACATAAGGGTGGGGCAGGTACAGTGCAAATAGACTTTACTGCTGAGGGTGGAACGATACGCGTTTCTGTAGAGTCGGTACGATTTTCGATTCTGAAGTCAACATTTGATTCGATTTTTTTGGTTTTTGATTCTACAAACTCTGCCACGGCCTACTACAGCGACTGGTTTGGCTCAGAAAAATACACATTTAATTTTGAAACTAAGTAGCGTGTCCTTGTGCAAAATATGCGCTGTATATGCTGTATCTGAATTAATTGGTCAATGAATTGATCACTGATAGCAGCTCCTGCCAAAGATGGCAAATAAAAGATGCTCAGGAAAGACCCAGGTGTGTATCGTACAGTTTACCGTCTTACCATTTTCCAATCTCTCTTGGAATTGAACAGACTGTTTTTGTCCACTGCTATATGTAAATTACTTCTGTTCTGATTGCTCCTTATTGCACCTCATTCAAATAGAAGACTGGGTGGAAACTCTTTATAACTTAAGCAAGAATAGGCGGAGCCAAATTGCTGTAGGCTGAGTGGATGGATAAATGTGTTGGCCTTGGTGACGTCACAAAAACACTAGCACTTTTCTTCAGCTAAGTTTCCGTATGTCAGCTGCAATATTAAATGCAATGCAATATTTTTTGAAAAATAAAAGAACCTAAAAAATAGAGCTTAGTAATTTATATTTTCAGAATCTGCAGTAGCCTGCCCTGTTAACACTTGCACTGTAAGTTAACGCTGCATTGTCATTATAGTGAGCTGAATCCTTTCTGTCTCCAACTGTTTTAATTTTAAGCCACTTTAGGAGCGTAATATTAGCGGCCTAATGTTTTTTTTTTCATTCAAAAAAACATCTTCTACTGTTATAATGTCCTACAATTTGAGCATTTTATTGTTTTTTCTCCTCAGAGTGCGTTTAAATACTGAATCTCAGAATGAAGCTTGGCTATGGGTGCAACACAATGGTTACAACTTATTTATCAACAACCTGATTGGCTGCCGTTTGCATTAAGTTTGTCCAGATGTGTCAGTTGTATGTGTACATTGTTTTCTCTCACCACATAATATTTCATCATGACAAATTCTCTTTGATATAAATTGTACAAAAATTTAATTGAAAAAAACAAATTGGCATATAATTTTCGCCTGACGCCACAGCTTGTTACATATATGCCATTTAGTGTGTCTATTCTCACATGTCAACTGCATGGATTTGGGGAGTGAATGGCATGTCAAACAAGTTTACATGACACATTAAAACTCTTTTATGTCAAAAAGTTTAGTTTTCCTTGATATGGGCCTTTTAAATGTTTTCAATTCTCAATACTGTATTGAAACTCTTACAGCTTAATTTGCTGCGCATTTAAATGTGAGTTAAAGTTTCATATCAGATTATAACTGTATAAAGTCACATAGTGATGTGTAAAGTATTCTGATCTTCTAACCTCACCTCACATTTCCTTTACTGGAAGCTTAATTTACCGGTCTCTGTACATTTCACCATCCTATAACATACAGCGCACTGTACCTGTATGAGAGACTGATATAGAAATGCTTATGTGGGGCAGTGCGGCCTCTTCTATTATTATCTTTGTTCCATTTAATCCTTCTTGCCTCCATTGAAGATTGCAGGTGCCAAAGTTCTAGCAAGTACCAGCACCTCGGTGGTTAGTGGCCGCAATGTACGAAGGTGGTCTGGTAGCAGCGCGCTGAAGCAGGGACCTAATGCTGTTCTCACTCCGAGCAGCTGCCTTCTGATACATGTTTTACACAAATTGACTTCTAATCTGCTAATAGTGTAAGCCCTGGATTTGCTCAGTTAGTCAGGAGTTTGATGAGGCGCATGAGCCATCATGAAATATCCATTTCGGGTGGGTGTTTTTCCTGCTTTGTTCAGCCAGCATAAATTTGCATTATTTGTAATGTATCACATTTGTGAAGCTGTGGTTTATAGTTCAGTGTGTCATGGTGTCACAGTCGTTCATATTCATGCTCGGCCTTTCAGGGGAGTTTTTCTTTCATTATTTATTTTGGTGGGAAGGCAATCAGAGCATCAGATCATTTTTGGCTGCACACTAAGCATACTTTGTTCTGTAGTTACACATGGATGGCACTGAGCGTCCGCCCCACTTATCTAATTCCACCCCCACCCTTCCTTTCTCTATATCCTGTGAAATGTGGCTTGTGTTTGCCCTCTGTGCCTTGACATTTATCCAGCTTAACTCTTTCAGTGATGTCAATGCACTTCTATTCCTGTCAGTGTGAAACAGATTCATCAACTGTAAATTATGCAAATTACCTCTGTTCTGATTGACTGATTTTCACTGTGCCTCATTCACAAAGCGGTCCGGCTTCAAATGCTCTAACTTCAGCATGAATGGGCGGAACCAAACTGCTGTAGGCTGTACAGGTAAATGTGTTGGTTTTGGTGACAACACAAAAAGGCTTGCAGGTTTTTTAGCACCGTTCAAAAAATCTCCCTGGTGGTGCGCTTCCGATTTGGAGTGGGTGATTTAGCCAAAATATTATTACAATTCCATATCATTCAACATCAGCAATTATTGACCATTACTAAATGTGCAAGTGCAAAACTTGAATAAACCTGAATACTTTAAAAATAATTTTGAACCTTGAAGAAAACAAAGGCTTATTGTGTGGCAGACTACAAAATTATCATTATCAACATAGACCATGAAATAAGTAGCATAAATGAAAAATATAAAAAAAAAATACTCTCCTAACTGTCCTGCTGTTATAGGGAAGAAAATGGGTCAGATCACCTCCTGCTGTTTTTCATTGAAAACACAAATTAGTGATGCACATCACAGGTTCTACAACATAATGTGTTGTGTTGCTCCCATATTCAGTTATATTTGGCACTATGCCAATGTTCCAAATTATTAATTGGCATTAAAAGACAGAAATACAGTGGACCACAAACGCTGATGACATCACTTTCACACATCGCACCAAGCCATGGGTTTTGTAGGTCAACTGTGTTTTAATCCTCACAGTTATACTGCTGAACAAAATATTTCAGTATTTCTATTGTATTCTTAGCTTTAGTGTGAGTCTTGTTACACAAAAGGTCCATCTTTAAGTCATTTTTAATTCATTATCAAAAATCTCTTTGAGGCAAATTGAAGGCAAATCAGAACATTTTGAACGCAGCCAGCAGATGGTATTGGTCTGCGCTTTCCTTCCCGTTGCAAGGGGCCGTGTTTCAAGCCAAGGATGCAGCCAAAGAAGGCTGCATTTCTCGGTGGTCACATCACTGAAGGCTGCCCTGTTTTGTAAGATACAATGGAGCTGAGAAATGCGTCCTTGGACTCGGTTGATGTATCCTTCAAGACCTTCAGCCATTTACAATCCTTCATGCACAGTGCAAGAACAATTAGCGAATGGTAGTGATGAAATGTACATTTTAGCCTGACGTTTTTAAACGTAAGATTTAAACGTGTTGCGCTACTCAAGTCAGAAAGCCATACAATGACACTACATCCTGCTCAGGCCATCTCAAATGTGCTAACTGAGCACTGAAGAGGAGCCTTTCTAGTGCTGCCAAGGTCTCTCAACTGCAGCCCTTACATTGAGATGCATCTAGTGAAAGGCTAGACTTCTTCTGCCTCACTTTTAGCTAGCAAAATTTGCCTGGAAATCTCCACCTGGTTTGCCAAAGTAGCATTTGTTCGAGTTCAAATTGAAGCCTCCACTTCTAACACTGGAAAGAGGAGCCGAACGTCATCAAACGTCATCACTGCATCGAAAATACCTCAAACATCTGTCATCGATATTGAAAAAATGACTTTACAAATATGTTACATAAAAGCACTGGAACCTTCAAAAATATCTGCAATTATCATTACAGTTTTCATATCAATTTGGTTCATTGTTGGAAAAAAACACTGTATTCATTGTATTGATAGTATTTTTTAAATGGGGTGCACTAGTTCTTTTGTCTGTTCTAGCTCATCAAACCTTGTGATGCACATAGTGTATCAAGAAAATGTATTTAATTTGTGCCCACCCCAGTCCTAATTCTGATTCTGATTCTTTAGGGTCCCAGGTTTGCTTGTCCTATGAATGGGGCTGCGCTGTGCCCAGCTCAGCCCCCCTTGCCCCAGTCAGGACTATGCAGTGCCCTTGTGCCCTCCTGAATGCATTGGCCAGCGGTTTGCGAGAGCAGGGAGGGTGGAGGGGGTCACCGAGGGCGCGGTGGAAGCAGCGGGATGCCCCCGCCGTTCCGGATAGCGGTGCTGGGGGCGCAGGGCGTGGGCAAGTCGGCCATTGTGCAGCGCTTCCTCCACGATGACTACAGCGAGGCGGCCGTGTCCAGCCGCGCGCGCAGGGTGCACCTGTCCGCCGCCGTGCTCAATGGCCACGTGCATGACCTGCAGATCACAGACTACCCGGCCATCAGCAGCTTCCCCGGCAGCTCCCTCCAGGTATGAACACACAAGTCCGAAAGCTTCGTGGAGCTTATTCAGTGCAGAGCATTTGGATCTTAAGCGGCGCTGCACACAGTATCTATTATTTAGCAGGTGATTTCTTACCCTGAAGACAGTGTGGAGAGATTTCTCTGCGCACTGCAGCTGAAAAGTGGTGTTAGATGTGAGTTGGTGACTATGATAAAGAAGAGAGGACCTCCCTCTCTCTTCCTCTCTCTCTCTCTCTGTCTCTTGCTCAGTGCTTCATTAATTTACAACCGAGTTGTCTGTTTCTTGTGGTTTCATCTCTGAGAGTTTACTCCCCTCCTAAAGCTTTCATTAAGGGCAGCGTTCACATGACAAATGGTGTATAGTTTGATTAACAGTGATGCCACAACTGTACTTGAATGGGAAGGAATCTTATTTCCTCTCTCTCCCCGTCAATACAGCGCAATGCAGGCCAGGTTGGGCGTCTTTTACCATACTGCGCACAAGTCAGATGACTCTTCATTTAGTGAATTCATTTAGAGTTTTTTTTCAGGAGATATTTCTGAGGAGATTAGATATAACATAGTCCTCTTGCAGGAGGAAAGGGAAAGTCACAAGAAAATAAGTGAAAAACAAGAGATTGCAAAAAATATTATTAAAACATAGAAAGAAATGGGACTCCTAACAACCATGCAAAAGCTGTTAAACCACCAAAACTGTCACCAACTGATAAACAGTGCTTACAGCTTTCATCTTTGAGAGAGAGGAGAAAATCAAGCTCCACTCTTGCTGCAAATCTCAAAAAATCCACAGATGTTTACGTCCATCCTTCCACTGTGAGAAGACAACTCGACACTATGAGTCAGAAAGGATGTGTAGCTGTCAAAAAGCCCTTACTGAGAAAAGGAAATAAATAGAGAAGCCAAAAAAGATGCACATTTGCTAATCTCAGAACAACAAGTCCTGACCTCACCATCACTGAATGTGTTTGGATCACTTTGATCATGAGAAGCAGAAAACGCAACGAACTTCTAAGACTGAACTTTGGAGGTGTATATCACTACGGATTTCTTTGAAAAAAGCAAGGCAAAAAATGGACTCTCTAAATACTGTAATAAATTCTTTTTTTTTCCTGACATACAAATAAATGTCTGTAACTTGTACACAAAATGAAATAAAAGAAGGGTGATCTAAGACTTTTGCACAGCATTGAAGGTCACATATTAGGTCACATTTACAAAATTGGGCAGTTAACACTCTACTTATTCTTCTACATTGTTGTGGCAGCTTGAAAAATAGTGGTAATGTGTGTATGCACCTTTAGTTTAACAGTCGCCTCCTAGATGGTGTACCAGAATTGACTTTGACTAAAACTGGGGAAGTTGTAGTAACAACAAAAATAATTATAACGATAATAATAATAATAATAATAACATTGTTTTTTATTTCATTAAATTATTTTTTTATGTCATTTTTCAAGTCATAAAGTCACAGTGCAGTGCTAGCTCTTTTTGTCTGGCTACAGAAAAATGCCCAGCGTTTGATGATGCTTGCGATTTTGCTTTTTACACTTTGCGACGACTCATTTTGGTGCAGCATTGCTTTACATAAATTTGCATTCAATTCTAAAAGGCTAGCAGTTGTGTCATCTGCATACATCTGTGTTGCTACAGTTCAGTTTTATAACCACAACCCACCGGCGCAGCCTTAAACAAGGCCTGAATGGTGTACATGTCCCACTGCACATCACTGCCTTCAGAAGGGCATCAAGTAAACAAATACAGCTTTTTACTGCATGTTATTTATTTCAATTTAACCCCTTTAACATCTGTATGTGTGTCTGTATGTGGACTCATAGTTACATAACGTACTACTTAGCAGTTACTGAGTAATTTTTAGAGTAAATAATGTGTTAAAGAGGCACTCCAGCCAAAATGAAACATTTAAGCATCGCTGCATCTGTTGTGAACATGCCTGCTCTCCTCCCACACCCGTGCTGCAACAGTCTCAAGAGTGAGATTTTCCAGTTTAAGGACCAGGAAACCCTCCTTTCTGATGATGTATTTTGAAGGGCAGAGGAGCTTCTGAATTAGGGGTGGATGCATAAGAGTGGGCGGTTTGATTTTTTTCCCTGTTAACTGGTTAATGTAGAATGAAGCCAGATCGATAACTAGAAAGCTGAATATAATGTCTGTATTTATTATCTTTTACATGAGTGGATCTCTTTATCACAGTGGGATTCCCAATGGCTGTATAATGTAATTGCGAAATGAATGCTGGGTGTGAAATTGGGTGGACACTGACAGACAAAAACACAAAAAATACAAAATCTTGAATTCTATCAAACTGATGAGGCTGAGGGATATAATGCTGCGCTACATAATATTACATTACATGACAAATAACATTTAAAATGCTAGTTTTAGGCTGGACTGCCCCTTTAAGATTAATAAGAGTAATAAGCCTCGAGTTTAAGGGGTTAAACAACCGTAACTGAAGGGTCAACTGTTCACTTGAACTGTCTGAGCTGTGTGTACTGAAGGATGATCTTGATGATGGCTTGTGATATCCAAATTTTACCTGAACCATGAATAGAGATGGCAAAACTGTTTTCAGATCAGCCTAAAAAGGCCTTTGGGAGTGTTTGGTTTTGGGGCAGGCTGTATATTCCAGCACTGTCGTGCTGCCCTCTATCTGTCTTTGTACTGCAGACACGCACAAACAGATCTGTCAGTGAGAATGACGTGGTAGCTCAGCAGCCTTCGTCACAGAGGAGAAACAGCCCGCCCTGCCATCCTTCAGATTTAATGAGCTGCGCTGTTTTGCTTGACTGATACGTCTTGTCAAAAAACAATAACATACCGGCTGCTCAAAACACTTAAAAAAGACGGTTCTTCAAGGGCTCTTTAGTAAAGGCAGTGGTTCTATTTAGAATCTTGAGCTCCGTATACACTCTTAATAATAAATAAAAACAGCATTGCTAAATAGAACTATGAACACTCAAATAACTATTTGCATGCATAAGTGGTTCTTTTCATTGTGAACTGGTTCTTCAGATTGATGGAGAATGTGTTGTATATGGTCCTAAATGGAACGTTTTTGAAAATGGTTCTATTTAACACCAAAAACGGTTCTGCTATTGTTACGACATTAAGCTTGTAACAATACAAAAAATAAAATAATTCTTTTTGGTACCATACAGAACCATTTACAAAAAAGGTTCTATATAAAACCATATACAACACATTGTCCATCAATCTGAAGAACCATTTCACAATGAAAAGAACCATTTAAGTGTGAAATAGAACTCACAGTGCTAAAAAGAACCATTGCCTTTACTAAAGAACTCTTGAAGAACCACGAAAAGTCGATCCAAGTGGATGGAAATGCATCAGAGTGTCTCAAGCTTAGAGAAATAGTTTAATGTAGTTGATCAGCCTTTACTTCTGCACTGGAGCTACGAAGCTGAGGTGGACAAAAGTACAGACAAAATTCAGGCTTCAAAATGGCTGCTACTACTGGTTTTAGCTAGCAAAGTACTTTTGTCCATTTTTCTAGAGAGCATTATGTAATACAGTGTGAGAAACCCCATAATCGTGTCTGTTTGAGATTACTTAACAGCTCAACATGTTCTGTGTGAAATGTGTCGTGATTTAGGTGCACAGTTTGCACAATCAGTGCTCATAAACTTCCATTACTTGTTAGCTACATTAGCCACAATACAAAAAGTGGCAAACTGTGAGCACCAAATGTGTCTTGGCTGATTAACTAGCCTACATTTGGGATAAAGGGCAAATTGTGTACATTTGATTTTACACCAAGCTATTCCTTTTTACCAGAGTGTAGCTTTCTCTGTGGTAGTCTTTCACACCTCTGGCATTTTGTTCACAACCCTCTCCATAAAAAAAGTGTTTTCTGTTGCTGGGAGGCACATTTTCTTTTTCACAATAAGATCCAGCTCCTTGAAAGCGAGGAACTACCTGCCAAGTCTCTGCTGTGCTCTCCGTTTAAAAATAGCGACCGAAATCCAATCAATGGTAGTCAATAATGAACTGGTTGAAATTCATTCTCACCTCAGCGTGATATGAATGATTCGCCTCAGATGGTCTGCCGCATCCGTCTCCCTCACAGCCCTCACCTCCTTTTCTCTGTGGGCTGCTGCCAGACACAGGGGTAATTACTGGCAGTTTGGAAATGAGCATTGCTGAAAGATTTTAGCTGTTTAGGAGGCATTTACAATCATTCAGAACCTGTCAGGTTCTGGAAAAGAACGGCAAGGCAAAGGCACTAGAGGTGAATGTGAGTATACAAATGATCGTACAACAGTAAATACGACTTGCCTAATGCCTCTTAACTATTTCAGCAGTGTTATCAGTATCAGTATAAAAAGTATAAAAAGAACTTGACATTCTAGTAATATGTTAGCGCTACATTTACAGCGATTCACATGAACATATTTTGGCCCTTCTAGACATTTAAATTTCTCTTAAAAATGTTTTTTGTTTTATGTGAAGCCTGTTTTGACTTGTAGCAATAACTGTTTCAGTAAAGAGCTCTGACATAGAGCTGCTGCCACTGTTTTCCATTTCTAACATCTGACTGAAATGCATTGGTTAGACTAGTATTCACACTCAGTGACATTTTTTTTCCTCATAAAATTGGCCCCACCCATTGTAAAGCCAAACATATTTGGTTGATTCCATTAGTTCCTGTTTATATTAGTGATTAATCTGACATTAGGCCAGTTCAGCTCCTGAAGTCCTAACCAATGGGAGAGCACGCTTGGCTTTATCTATCTAGATACCACTGTGAAAAAAATTCTGAATAGATTATTTTCAGCTGGGCACTTTAAGAATTGAACCCTTTTGTTTCCAGTCAAATAGTTAACAATGAAATAAAATTCTTGCAGTTTGCATACAACAGGCATTATGATTATATTAAGTAAAAATGTAGTGTTTATTTCACAGCAATCATTAGGCTTTCTCTGAAGGCCTAGAAGGCCCTTAGGGTTCACCATTGTTCTTTAGTTTTGCACTGGTGCTACAGCATCACACGTAACCTTTAACAACTTTGAGTTGTTAAGTAATCTCAAACAGATGCACCTTAAATTTGTTTTTTATAGACAACAGTGTGTGGTACAACATAAGCAAGTCTATTTGAGATTAGTGCTGTTTAGCAAACGAGTGTAAGGATTTCAGCATGCAGTTTGCAAAGTGGTAACTGCTATGGTACAAGCTTCCTTTACCTGTCAGCAACATTGGCCTTCGTAGCTTTAGTGCAAAACTAAGAAGCAAACAGACATCAAGCATGTGTTAGCTGATTGACTGCATTCGGGGTAAAAGAGAAAACTGTGTACATTAGATTTTCCTGTGAACTATTCCTGTAATTGAATTCTTCTGTAATAACACAGACTTATGTATTGCATAAATCAAATGTGATGAACTGCATTGCAGTCAGTTTGCGGTCAATTTTAACCCCACAATTTCCGCTGTTTCCCAGGAGTGGTCGGACGTTTGCTGTCGAGGCATTCGCAGCGCCCACGTCTACATCTTGGTTTATGACATCTGCTGCTTTGACAGCTTCGAGTACGTCAAGACCATGCGCCAGCAGATCCTGGAGACCCGGTACGTGCGTTGCATAATAACACGGTCCTTTCATCATCATCATCATCATCCCGTCCATTCACCCTCTCCCTCCTCTTTCTCCACTCTTTTGTTTGGTATTGCACTGGCTCCCTTTTCTCTCACAGCCCCGTAGCATCTTTTCTCTCTCTTCTACTTCTCTCTGTCCCTCCTTTGATGTCTGCTGTGATTCCGCTGATGAGCAGCGACCCCCGCTATAATCACAGGCTAGCACAGACATGTTACGTTTATTTGCCATTCAGATCAGCATCCACAGAAATGCCTTCCCGTTTCTGCTCCCCTGATTGCAGAGGTCATCTGCTTCCATCTCTTAGGCCACTACAAAAGCCCTGTGCTTTTAAAATGCATCTTCTGCATTTTTCTTTTGTTTGATTTTTTTGATTCCTTTGAAGTCCACGTATGACAGTGGTTTCACCTAATTCATTTTCACATGAGCACTCTACATCCTCTTTTTATCCCTTAGACAGGCTGTTTTTATTACTGTGTCTTTAAAGCAACACTATGTAAGATTTGGGGATTTGGAGACGTCTCTGGTTGAAATAAGTAATTGCATGCACAGAAGAACATTTGTGCTTTGGACCCCACAAGCGGATCAAGTGGACTTTTGCAAATGTGTTGAAAGAGTATTTGAAGAGAACTCAAATATATATATTTTGCTTCATACAAAAAGCAGTCTGGGCTTAAATGAATTGCAACTTAGCAAAGGGACAGGCAATGGCTGAATGCAACCTGATTGGGATTTTCTTTACAGAAGACAGTGCACTTGGCATCCTATCAGATTGTTTTTTTCCCATGTTAGCACTAACTGCCGGGTGTTGGGTGTTCTCATTAACACGGGCCGAGGTGCACGGCTGCCCGTCACCTAAGCCTGCTGCACACATCCAACAGGGCTTGTTTGTTTAATCAATAAATCTCAGAGCAAAGCTGGCAGCTACAAAGCCCACTTAGTGTCAGAAAGAATTGCAACAGTTTGTGCAAATGATGCACGCTAGAGGCCACGCAGGGCTAATCACACACACAAACGGTGACTGAGCCCCTAAAATAACACATGGTGTGTGTGTGTGTGTGTGTGTGTGTAAGAGAAAGAGTATGTGAACAGCAAGTGACTGTGTGCATGTCTTGGTTTCCTTTATTTAGTTACCAGTCAAAATGGCCATTAAGTACAAGTTACTCATTTTTCAGGAAAAATCTGAAAAAAAATCAACGCTATTGGAACAAAACCTCATATCTCCAAAATGGAAACTTTACAGGAGAGAGAAAAAAACATTCTTAACTTGTAATGGAAGTTAATGTAACAAGATTTTTTTTCCAAGTAATTTTGGAGCATTTCTGTTGGTGCTGTCATAATTTCATTAGAACACAACTGGAGACAACAAAAATGGAGATACAAGGTTTTTCCCTGGGAGTAACAATATGGTTAACATAAAATTACACAGAAGCCACCAACAATATCAAATTTATCAGTATTTAATTTGCCCACTCTTTACTTTTGTGCCCCTTCTGCCACTTCAACTCTTCCATCCTTCAGATCCTAAAACCAACCAGTTATACCGCTCTGTTCTCCCTGGGTACATTGCGAATGTCCTTTCTCATACAGGAGATGTCTGAGTAGATTCTATATCAAGTAAAATCTGGAATTTTAAATGTATTAAAGACTACAGAGGATATGGGACTCCTAACAACAGTGCAATCTTTGAGAGAAAATCAAGCTCTACTGTTGCTTCATATCTGAAAAACTCCACAGGTATTCCTGTCCATCCTTCCACTGTGAGAAGACAACTCAACACTATGGGTCTGAAAGGACATGTAGCTGTCAAGAAGACAGAGAACTTTACTGAGAAAAGGAAACTAGAACGAGAAAAGGTACTAGAACAAAGAAACTGGACATCTGAGATGTGGAGGTTTTTATGCATTGATAGGTCTAAATGTGTAATTGGTACTACGTGGATCACAGATCCTTCTAAGACTGAACGTTGGAAGTGTGGAAAAGTCTCACTGCAGATTTCTTTGAAAAACTGAAAGCAAGTCTCCTGCAAAGAATGGAAGTTGTAATAAAGACAAAGAGTGGACACACTAAATACTGATAAAACTGATATTATGTTAGTTCTTGAGGCCTCTGTGTCACTGAAAAATGTACTTAATAGCTATTTTGTGTGGAAAGTAACAAACTGAGTGGTGGTCTCTGACTTTTGCACAGTACTATGTATGTGTGTGTGTCTGTATGGCTGGGGGGTATTTGAGTTGTGTGGATATATTCACTAGATGCTGGTTCATTTTCCCGCTGGCCGTGTGTGTGCGTCTCGTCTGTCACTCAGAGTCTGATTGATTGGTAGCTATGGCGTCAGCCGTCAAGGCGCGATGGCAGTCTGCGCTGCTGACACGCACTCATGTTTTATCGATCTCAGCACAACACAATTAAGTGCGCTGAAGCCGACACACCTCACTGCTTCTCTCACACACACTCAAATTCACGCGGGAGCTACATGACTTTGGGTTTGCTCGACAGAGGCGCTAACAGCTAGAAAAATCAGCCCACAGCTGGCTAGCACTCCGTTCCGTCTCTGATAGTTCCTGTCTGAGTGACAAATTATGACGGTTAATTAATCACCAACAAATCAACCACAGTCCATCATTTATTCCAAGCTGTTGTTTTGCCATAAATCTCACTTAGTCTGAGCTTGTTTGTACGCCTCACTGTCTGGATTTGCACCTGCCAGCATCCGTTTCTCTCTCAGCAGGATAAAATCAACATTCATTTTGTAAATCCAGTAGCATAATTAACTTATGTTGTTTCTCTTTCTGTTGTTGCCTTGTGTTTAGTTTGTGAATAACCAAAAACAAGGCAACAACAGACTGAATCATTTAACTTTGTCCATCAGGCCTAGTAAATGGATGAATGAAGCAGTGGAAAGATGAGCCGATAAGAGTCTGGAGTGAGTGAATAAATGCTAGAGTGCACAAATTCATGCACTAAAACTTTACATGTTTCGTGCAAGTAAATGAGTGAGCTCATCTTTGCCTAAAGAATGTAGCCCTACTTTGTTTTACTCTCATAATGGAAGTGGACTGGGCAAAGAGGCAGTATGTTTTGGCCTGATTCACTTCCATTACGTATGAATTACAACTTGAAACCCAGCACACAAAATATTTCTACACTGTAAAAATTGGTTCAACCTAAAAAAAATAACTTCATGTGGTAACAAGCAGTCTAACTGGTTTTATTCAACTTGAACATTTTGAGTAATTCAATGTAAAGCACAAACGTGTCATCTACATGAACAAAATCAATATTCAACACCAATTTAAACCTCAAAAGCACTTCAAATGAACTTCAATAACTAAGCATACAGGTTTCACCTTTTCAGTGTAGGCTTAGTTACTGATTAATCCCAATAGAATTAAGGAGTAAACGTGTAAAATAATGAAAATAAAATTAAAAAATCATCTGTCTGTGTTTCTTGGAGGTACACTGTCATCACTGTCGCGACGGTGATAAGAGGTGGCAGATCCTCAGAGATCGGAGGCTGGAACTGTCACAGCGAGTGATGGATGAGTGGAGCTCAATCTGGCGGCTCCTGTCACACCACTGAGAGGCTTTACTTTTTTCCTCACCCATATTCAGACAAACTCCACCTCCTAAGCTGGGATTGGCTAGTAGTGTTTACTCACTAGTTCATACTGTAAACTACTAGACAATCAAAAAGAAATAATAGACAATTCATGAGCAGAAAACAAGCTAGCGCAGGAGACGAGGTACTATGAGCAAGGTGCGAAATACAAGAGGTCCTGAGGAGTACAGGACCCCCTAATTAACCTCTTGGACTCCCTGAATGTCTCAAAATCTAAATTCTGGAGGGGTCCCTAAAAATAAACTTGACGGTATGCTGTTTGTCAGAGAAAAACAGACCCTAAAATACAAATTCAGGGATTTATTCATTGTTTAGCCGCTTCACCCACAGTTTGTGAGCTTCTGTCTTTGGTATTCTTACTAACTAAAGATGCAGCACTGGTCTGCCTCAGGGTGGCGCTGTAGCAAATTGGTTCACTCAGTTAGTCCTTAATAGCTTAGCTACTGTAACTATGCCTGGGAAACCTCTAAAACTTTACAACATGGCATAGCATTTTTGTAAATCTGAAAACTTGTCCAGTTTTCCCAAGAGTACTCACTTCTCAAACTGAAGGCAGGAATTAATGTGTGGTACACCACATTACCAAACTAGAAAAGCGCATTTCCAGAATAAGAATTGTTAAACTAAACATTTTGTTGCCATTAAAGCTATCATCAACGCCGCTATGGTGAGTCAGCAGCCAGGCAATGCTGGAGTACCCAGCCAACATGGGACCCCCCAAATATCAGGTGCAGGAGACAAGATACAATGAGTCAATCCTAGCACAGCAGATGAGATACTATGCCAGTTCTAGAACAGGAGATGAGGTTCTATGAGCCAGTTCTAGCACAGGAGACGAGGTACTAAATGCCAGTCCTTGCACGGTAGATGATGTACTACGAGGCAGTTATAGCACAGGAGACGAAGTACTATGTGCCAATCCTAGCACAGCAGATGAGGTATTACGAGCCAATACTAGCACAGGAGAAGAGGTACTTCAATTGCAGTACAGGAGACTGAGTGTGATAAGCAATCCTAGTACAGGAAATGAAGTACTACAAGCCAGTCCTAGCATAAGAGACAAGGTAATACGAGCCAGTGATGCACATGAGACAAGGTGCTACAAAGCATTTCTAGCACAGGAGACAAAGTATTACGAGCCAATCATACAGCAGGGGATGAGGGTACAATGAGTCCTAGTGCAGGTGACAAGACACTACAAAGCACTCCTAGTACAACAGACAATACACTACAAACCAATCCTAGTGCAAGAGATGTAGTTCTACGAGTACTACAAGCCAGTTCTTGATCAGGAGACGAAGTACTACAAAGCAATCGTCAGGATTTGTCTGAATATGGGTGGGAAACAAAATAAAGCTACTGTGAGTTAATTGCCTTAATTTGCAGAGGCCCACATGTTCATGCACAGAGTTCAGAGTCAGTGATTAAGACAAATTAGCTCTGGACGAGCAGGTCATGTTATGAATTAGTGTCTTTGCTCAAGCCACATTTAAAAAACTAATGAAAATTCTGCTCAAAGAGACTCTTAACATTTTAATTAATTATCCAGGACTACATGTCTGCAGGTTCACAAGGCAGTTTTTTGGGGGACTATTCCACAATTCATTACTTCAAAAAAGCACTTTTCAATATCTCTGCCCTATCTGTCTGAGTCTGTTTCTTTAAATCTGTCAGAGCTGCAGGTCATCTTCTTTGAAAGAGATAAGGAAAGACACAAAAGCTGTGCTCCCCTGTGTGGGAGAGGAAGGGTAGTCTGATAGTTCACCCCTCATCTTTCACTACTGTCCCTGACAGCTCGACACTGTAGCGCTCCGTTAACCCAGCCTGCACATGGAGCGAGAGCACAGAGGAGTGAAGCCTTAGAAATCACCAGTCTGCCTTATTAGGGCTCAAAATGTTCAACTGAGGTGTCATGTTTTTGGATGTGGAGTTTTTATGCATTTGCCAAGTTTGTCCTATGTTCAGAAGTTCACTGAATGGACTGAAATTTTCTTTTTTCCAGATCACTAAAGGTCAGTTTCTTATTTCCATGGTTTCTTAACTGCCTCTAGTAAAAGATAAACAATGGATGAAAAGCACTGTATTGATCACTGATTTTCTTTTTCATTGTAAACAATGAGCAAATCATCACAACACCAGAAGAAAACTCTTACAGCTCTTTTTCAGGTTGATTTTTTTTACCCCATTTAAACATCAGCTGCCCTTTATATTGTCTGAACATTTCCTGATAAATTGACTAGCAGAAATTTTCAAAAGCAAACCATTCAAATGTAAATTCTTGCATTAAGAGATGTTCGGTTGTTTTTACCTTCACCTATAAAGTTACTGTTTTGAAGGATTTGTTCCGACCACAGAGTCTGATTGGTTGAAAAGTATTTTCCCATTATATCTGAGCATTTTTTACTGCACCTGTATCATTCCACGGCCCAGTGGTTGCTAAGTGGTCGGAACAAGCAACTTGTGGTGAAACTACTTTTTGGTGAAAGAAACTGCCATAAACTGGCAAAACTAAATTGCCCCTAGGTGTGAGTCTGTGTGTCTGTGTGTGCCCATCTGCCCTGCGATGAACTGGCAACCTGTCTAGGGTGTTTCCTGCCTTCTGCCCAATGGCTGCTTGGATAGGCTCCAGCACCTCCTGCAACCCAGGAGGATAAGCAGCTTAGATAATGTGTGTTTGTGTGTGTTTGTGTGTGTGTATTCGAATAGCATCACAGTGTGATGATGTGCAGCAGGGTGTCTAAACTTTTTGTCTTGAGGGGCCAAAGTACAACATCTGTGTTGGGCCGAGGTCCAAAACGACAAAACAATATATAAATAAAAAAGGCAGGTAGGATTCAAAGGAGTTTTTAAAAATGTATTACAACAGATGTGTTACGCTATATTTTGATACTAAAATACTCATTTAACCAGGATAATAAATTATATGCTATACAATAATAAGAAATATATAATGCTATATACAGCAGTAGGAAGGTTGGTGGGGGTATTGTATTCTAACATATACAGATATCCAAATGATGTAGTTTAAAATGAGGTGTGTAGTATCTTGTAAATTAGTAATGTTTTGTAAAGTTTTTGCAGCATTAACTCATAGAAATCTTTGTGTCAGAGGGTGGAGTTCTGGAGGGCTAAATCAAATGTCCTCTTGGGCCAGCTTTGGGCAGCCTGATGTTACTTGGGTTAACTCCATCGCTCTACTTTTATACAGCTTAAATCTTCTCAAAACAGTAATGTTTTTTTATGCTGTGCTTTGCAGGGTGATGGGAGCGTCGGAGACCCCTATCCTGATTGTGGGCAACAAGCGCGACCTCCAGCGAGGCCGGGTCATCCCACGCCACAATGTCTCTGACCTGGTGCGCAAGAGCTGGAAGTGCGGCTACGTGGAATGTTCGGCCAAGTTCAACTGGCACATCCTGCTGTTGTTCGGCGAGGCCCTCCGCAGTGTGGGCTGTGCCCGCTGCAAGCACGTCCACGCCACCATCCGCTTCCAGCGGGCGCTCAGGAGAGAGCGCTGCACTCTTATGTAAGAGGTGCCACTTTGGTGGTACCTCTCAAACGTCCTCTTGGGCCAAATTTGAGACGCCCCCGCTTTCTCAGAGAAACCGAATTACACCGTGGTGAAGATAGCTTGTGGTCAGCGATTCAGGATTCTGTCAGCTATAAATCTGTGGTGCACTAATTAACACCTGCAAGTAATAGTGTGTTCGGTAAGTGCTGATAAGTGAGTTTAGATGATGTTATCCTGCACACCAAAATTTGCCAATATTACACTTCAGGGCTTTATTTCATGAAGTGAAATAACTCCACAAGTCAACCACCCAGGAATGAAATCAGGTTTTATGAATTAGGTTTTAAGAATTGTTAAATTTTCACAGTCCTAGCTTTATCTGTAAGACTAAGTTGGAAAAGGAAAGTGTTTATGAATTTGAAAGGCTATTAAAAGTCATTAAAAAATTCACAGAACTCGAATTGTGAAAGCTACCATGAGTAGATTTTGATCAGCTCTATCCTAATAGAATAAAAGGATATTACGATTAGGAGACCAGGCATTATCACATTACTCTGTATAGCTTCAAATCTGACCATCTAGAACAGGGGTGCTAAAGTGCAATGTTTTTGGTGGGCTGAAAAAGATAAAAAGGTATACGAATAAAGAAGATAGCTAGGTTGCAAATTGGGTTTTAACATTAGTCTACACTATACTTGGTTTTTAAAATACTTTAAAGGAAAACCATGGACAAACAAAATTTCCCTCACCTTTTTTAATAATAAATAATAAATTGGTGACTTGCACATCTGTGGAGGCACCATTAATTCTGAACAGTATACACAGGTTTTGGCAACATATGTTGCCATCCAGATGACGTCTTTTTCAGGGAAGGCCTTGCTTATTTCAGCAAGACAATGCCAAACCACATTCTGCACCGATTACAACAGCATGGCTCCAAAGCAAAAGAGTCTGGGTGCTAAACTGGCTTGCCTGAAGTCCTGACCTGTCACCACTGAAAACAACTGTACAATTGTGCCAACTGTAAAGTTTAATGGAAGAGGGATAATGCTATGGGGTAGTTTTTCAGGGGTTGGCCTAGGCCCCTTAGTTCCAGTGAAGGGAAGTCTTAATGCTTCAGAATACCAAGGCATTTTGGAAAATTGTATGCTTCCAACATTGTGGGAACAGTTTGGGGAAGGGCCTTTTCTGATCCAGCATGACTGTGGCCCAGTGCACAAAGCAAGGTCCATAAAGGCATGGCTGGGTGAGTTTGGTGTGGAAGACCTTGACTTGCCCTTACAGAGCCCTGACAGCAACCCCATCGAACACCTTTGGGACAAACTAAAACGGAGACTGCGAGCCAAGCTCTCTCGCCCAACATCAGTGTCTGACCTGCTCTTCTGAATAAACGGGCAAAAATTCCCACAGACACACTCCAAAATCTTGAAGAAACATTAATGCCTATGGATTTAGAATAGGATGTCATAAAAGCTTCTGTAGGTGTAATGTCTAGGTGTCCCAATACTTTTGTCCATATAGTGTAACTTTCTAGCAGTCTAAAGCAGATGTCTGCTCAGGCCAACTTATGGGGCCTTTGGGCAGCCCTGTTCTAGTGACATGAAATCAGACTAAAATCAATGAGCCTTTAAAAGTACTCACAGACAAAAACAGGACTGCAATTCTTTTAGTAAATCAGCATGGTCAATTTGAACCTGGTTTCATTCCTCTTGGTGCTCAACTTTTGAAGCTGTACACTTTAGATAATAAAATGTAATGCCAGATTTCATGGTGGAGGATGACATCATCTACATTTACAACTCTAAACATACAAAATGCACTGTCACTTACTGGCGCAAGTTAACAGACCAGGGATGTGCAGCTGACAGAAGCCAGAATCTCTAGCTATCTTGCAGTTGCCGAATTGGAGCTGTGGCAGGCGAGCTCTGATCGCTTTCTTGCCAAGGAGCCTCTGTCTTGGATGTTTTCAGCGAAGGACACACACTCCCTTCAGACAGACTGCTTTCCGATGCCAAGAGGAATCCTCAGATGCTGCTTCTCCAGGAAACACTCCGACTGAAACGCCTCGCCGACAGCTGAAAGCCTCAAAAAAGATCAGCTTTAATATTGTTACTGTTGAAAATGCAAATAATGAGTTTCATTCATGCTGGGACTACTTTAGGAAGCCCATCCCTGCTTTGCTGGGCTTATGTTGATGGATCTTCCAGTTCTGTTGAGCAAAAATGCATCTCCCTCCTTACAAGGTGTGCATGTACCACACAGGGGTGCAATACACAAGAGCACAAATAAACGTATGTGTATGCTCAATGGATACTTCCATGTTAGGACTTATCTGTTTAGCTTGTTCAGATACAGTTTATCTCTGGTATTGTGTTGTATGCCAAGGCATGAATTATGTCCTAAATTTTCCCTCTGATGACACATTAGAGCAGGAAACAGGTCAGTGAATCATTTTGTATAGTTTATCAAAGCGAAAGAGAGGTATAAATATGGGATCCTATGAAACTCAATTTCAACCTGACCCCATTTTTCATTCTGAAAAACAGCACAATATTGCCAAGAAGAGTGGTCCTATGTGAAATTTACAAGCAGTCATTCCTTTGATGATATCTTAAAAAACAAAAAACTTACAAACAAAACTGTTTTTTAAAGCTTAAATCTTAAGTCAAATATCGCCCCCCTATCGAAAATTGTAAGAGTTATGGATTTTACGTAAAAAAGAGCCTGGTCAGAATAAGAGAGGAGAGTTATATGTGTATGGATTTTGTTTATTTTCAGAAGATGGGGTCATTGTATAAATGGCTGAATGCTGACAGTGGATAACATCTTGTTTGATCAATCAATATTTATGGCTATTCTTAAGCCTAGTCTTAGGTTTCAAAATATATTTTCAGTGGAGGAACCCACTGAGAATATGATTTATTGTGCACTCTGCCTAATCTGCGTTTTCCCACTGATAAATTATTATCTATTCCCCTCCTGGGACGATAGAGCAGCACAGCTAAAATATTTGAAATCCAGATTAAAGAAACAAATGATTCATTTGTAAAGAGGCTTATCTGATATTGTATAAATCAAATTAAGGTACTTGAAGGACTGAAAGTCAGACTGTACTTGTTTGCACTAAAACTGATAATAAATCATCTTGCTGGTATCAGACAGTTATGATTATTTATTGTGCAGTCCAACAGTGAGGCATTTCTTTTCACCATCAAAGAGAAACATCTGGTACAATAAACATCATTTTAGAGGTTATTTCAAAATCATAACAAGTGAAAGACATTTGAAAACTGAATCATATACTCTACCCTCTAAAAAGCATTGTTTATTATGGCAACTCCAGTGAGAAGAATTTTAATCTTGGTCCTAAAAGAGTTATTAATTTTAACCACTAGGCCAATTTCTATCCCTGTACCTCGTCATGACAGGTCTGAAGTGGCCTTCTCTGAGAGAATTTTGAGAATGAGGAAAGAGAGCAAAAGAAAGACAGAGAGAAAGAGAGAGAGAGAGATGCACAGGGACGCAGCTGCTCTAGTGTGACAGACTGCAGTTCTGAGGAGGCTATAAATAACTCCAGACTTTTGCCCAGAGTTATTTATAAAAGCTGCAAACTGCAGCCGAAAACACAAATGTGCAAGAAGACTTTGTAACTGTTATGAGGAAAATGCATCCAAGGAAACCCTCATTAAGAATGCTGAAGTAATCACATTAGGGTGGCATGTGTCCCTTGATCATTTGGGGATTAGCACAGCAAACATGCATACTCACCATTATCAAATAAACATGTTGGTTATCTATTGTTTATTGCATGCGACTAAGATTCTGCACTAATTCTGCAGTGGAGGCAGGCAAATGGACGCACACCAAGAGTATGTTCTGTGCTTTGACAGGGAAAGTTCCTCTCTAGCACCGCCAAAAACTGTGAAACACCTGACTGAGGGCAATACATCGGTGTGTACTCTTCTATTTTCCCAGACTGCCTGATCAACAAGCTTATTTCATAATGGCAAAGCATGTCAACCTGGACAATGCTGAGAACACAGAGTACACAGTAATAGAAAAAAAAGTAACAGAAAAAGTAATAGAAATCACAGCCATAGAAAAGTGTTATGTTGAAGCATTTTGATGCAACCCTGGTTAAGTAGAAATTAAGAAGAATGGCTGTCCAAAAGTGACAGCATATGACAGGTAGTAAAGAAGTCTTCTAAATTAAGTGCCTCATTTGGTACACAAGTCTCAAGGCACAAACCATTAAAAGATGGCAAATGCAGCATTAAAAACAATGCTTGTCACTACTTCATCACTACTTTGGAGAACAGTATTCATGGCTTATTATTAGAAGGTAACGTACAGTCCTGTCTAAAAGTCAGAGACAATTTATTTAATTTCCAGTCAAAATGGTCATTAAATACCAAATATATATAATAAATCTGCAGTTCCAAAAATTATAAAAACAGAGAAAAAACTGGACTTCTAACAACCGTTCAAGGCCACCAAAAGATCACCAAAATTGTGAACAACAGATGTGTAGATGTCAAAAAGTTATTTTATATATATATATATATATATACACATATATATATATATATATATATATATATACACATATATATATATATATATATATATATACATATATATATATATATATATATATATATATATATATATATATATATATAAAAGAAACTGCTGGGGTTTTTAGAACAGCATACTGGCCACTGCAGAGTCCAGACCTCATAATTGAACGTGTTTGAGGTTACTTGGATCATGATAAGCAGAAAATACAACCAACTTCTAAGACTGAACTTTGGAGGCGTGGAAAAATATCTCTGCAGATTTCTTTAAAAACCTGGAAGCAAGTCTCCCAAAAAATGAAAGCTATAATAAAGGCAAAAAGTGGACACGCTAAATACTGAAAAAAAATATCTTTAGTTTTTGAGGCTTCTGTGTAATTTTCTGTTTCGACTATAAATTAAGTAAATGAAGAATGGGCTCTGACTTCTGCACAGTACTGTACTTAAGATTATTACATAAAACAAAAATGAGCTTTTCTCATGAAGGCAAATTTGCATACCATGGAAAACAGTCCTTGATTGATATATAGCCTTGCTGACTTTAACCTTGCAAAGAGATACAAAGATGGTATAAATTATCATATGTGAGAAAAGCAGTTAATCCCAGGTTAAACCCAGGTTTCAAGCTCCTGATCAGTCACGACCTCCTGGTCTGTTCCTTGGCACTGTTTGGCACACCCTGCCGAGGGACTGATTTTGGACATAGTCTGAGGGGTTTTCCTGGGGTGTCTCATTGTAGAAGCTCTGTGAGGAGTATCTAGTCCTTTCTGACTGTAACAAACAGCAGTGCTGTCCACCGGCATCTTGGTCTGAGGGGCATCTAAGCTCTGACTTCCCCTATAGGAAACCGGTTTAGGGATCTTAGACGGTTTCTTGTCAGGTCTGTGGTCCCGTCTGGGGTGTATACAAGGCCTCAATTTCAACTTATATATAGAAGGCACTCGTTCTGGCTTCTTCAAGGACCTCTTCTGACGGAAGGAAGAGGCCTGGGGATTTTCAAATTTGTAAGTCCCAGAGTTTGATGAGTTACCTGGTGTCAAATCTGTCTCCACAATTCTCTTGCTTTCTGAATCTATACTGGAACCTAGGGAGGACCAGGAACTGGCCACAGAGAGTTTTGAAACCTTCAGATGGTTTGGGTCAGTGTCAGCATGGATTTCTTGCTTCCTGCCCTTGAAATCTCTAGACAGACTGTTCACCCAGTTTTCAATAGACACTTTCTCAAGCTTCTTCTTCCCATTCGAGAGCTCAACAATGACAGCCTGAAACTGAGCCTCCTTTGCATCATTTGGTTTAGAAGCAGAAGAGGACATAGTGACAGAAGGTTTCTGGATTTCATATGTCATCTCTGGAGAATTTAGAGGAGTCTCAGGACGAGACCTGTACTGATCATTTTCTGAGTCACTGGCATCAGAGTCCATGCCGAGCTGTTGCAGATTGGACAGGATCTCCTCCTCAAGGCTCTGATACAAGACAGCTTCCTGAGCAGGACTGATTGGAGGAGGAGTAAAGAGGTATCTATTCTCCATCTCTTGGTCTCCACTCTTTGAGTGCACATCAGAGACTGTTCCAGTTGGCTGATGACCAGAAACTTTGAATCTCTGTTGACTTCTCTCATTTCCATCAAGATTAGGTGTATTTCGTGATGAATGGTCTGAGGAGCCACCTGGTTGGCCTTTTCCAGTTGGGATAAGGCACCTAGCATGTGCTTTCCCTGATATGACACCCATTAGTCCTTTAGATGGACAAAATGTGCGAATGAAGTCAGGGCTCTTCCTATCATTCCCACTGTCATCGGATTCTTGAATACTGATTGTAGGAGGCTGATGAACTACCAAACTGTTTTTGTTGGTATTAAGATTCAGATCTGGTGTTATGCACAGGAAGGGCCTAGCTGACACTGAACCAGCTGGCTTCTGTGGAACGCTCGGCCTCTCTTCATTGCTCTTTGCCCCAGCTGTGGCAGTCTGTCTCAGCTTGGAGACAAACTGTGATTTGCTCCAGTTGTTACCCAACCTGTTGTCTGGGCCTTGCTGGTGTTGAGGAGAGGTCTGACTCTGGACCCTCTGGAAGACCAGGGGCGTACTAGGACGCTGAGTTTCAGGCTGTGGTGGAGTAGAGGGGCGAGCTGGTCGTGGAAGACTGCTGGTTAGACGTGGAGAAGGAGATACACGCATTGCCTCTCGGCCTGTCCTGCTGGTAGACTTCAGCACAGAGTCATCCTTACTTTCAGAATAGGTCTGTCTGCAAAACAGGATATCTGCCCTCTCCTTCAGTCTGAAAGAAGATCCACACAGCCAGTTCAGCCATTGGAAGTTTATTTTATTACAAACCCACTCTAATATTGCATGTATCAAGTGTGATTAGCTGTTTGCCTGAAGTGTATTTATTGTTATTTTGAGCTAGGTGTACCAGGCTGTGACTAAGCACTTCTTTGATGACAATGTAGCACTCAAGCTTAAGCATATTGTATCACACAATGGTGATTCAGATGAAGTGGATGCAGTTTCAGATTTAAAATGTCAAAACAAAGAGGCTAAGCTGCATCAAACCCTTATTAACCTTTTTAAGATCACAGCAGATATTTCCAAGCAAGCTAGTTGTCATGGCAGATTTCCAACATTACTCCGCTGAGACTTATTACTTATCAGTCCCAAGAGACAAGTCATGGAACAAAATCATAACCTAGGGCCTGTCAAAGAGTGGACAACATGCACTGTTGTCAAACTGAGAAGACAGTATTTCATTATTTATAGCACGTCTAAAAGGCAGCGCTCATAGAGCTACACAGCACCTTTATTAGCCTTACATAACAACTGACATATAAACCTACATAGACGTTTGCAAAAGCTTATTCCAATAAGTGTCAGTTGTCATAAAATGTCCTGAGATGAAATGACATCAAAATGGCCAAAATTAGCCTTACAACAAATGAAGCTTGTTGTAGCTTTTATTAATAATTATATAGGTTTATGTCTGTTGTCACTGAAGGCATTTGTTGATACCATGTAGTGCTATGAACGCTGACCCTCAGTAAAAACTCTAAACTCTAAACATATTCAAGGTTTAAAATTTACAGCGCAAATCCCAGATGTGTAAAACCCTGATGCTTCTCCTGAGAAGCTATTTGAGAAATGCAAGGTTTTTCTAGGAACAGCAACAATATAAAATACTAAATATGGCCTTCATAGACCTCAGTAAATGAAATCTCTGTATCATCAATCATGCTGTCTAAACCAAGGGCACAGTATCTTGGAACCACTTTCAAGCAGGGTGAAAAATTGCACTGCATGAGACTGTTAGCACCTTGTCTTCTGCCATTAATTATTTCATTGAGCATTTAGTTAGGCTTCAAAACAGAGAGTAAACATAGTTCACTTCTGCTTATTTTGGTGACCGATAACAAAATACTATAACTGGTATTTGTAACTTAATTTATATAGTTAAATATTATATAATTGAAAAGTTACTCATCATTTGAGAAAACTATACATTTCTAGTGATTAACTATATTCAGAGTCAAATAAAGCAACTTTAATCTTTATTCAAACTATCCATTGAAATACTACAAGAACCTAAAACTCAAATTAGTGAGTCTTCTCTTCTATCTCAGGGTTTATTACTGTAATTTAATATTCTTACATTAGACACTGTCACTGGTCATTAAATTTGCATAAAGCTGAGAGACTGGTGCAATTACAACAAATTCAAAATCATTACCCATATAATTATGTGCTGCTATTGTTTGTGCTCAGGTATGCAGCAGTGTTGATTTGATTATGATGACGTGACAGGAGTTTGATTCATTATGATTAAGTGCTGGATGACTGCTTTCATCTGCCTGTACCACGATGGAGGACACAGATGAATGGAGGAGTAGAAAGTGTCTCCCTGCAGACATTTGGAATTGTCTGCACTACACAGATTTTACTGAGCAGTATGTTTAAGAGTTATCTGGATTTTTAGGCCTTTAGACACAAGTGAGGCTGAGTGTGGAAGGCTACAGGCTTAAATGGATGGATTTCCATCATCTCGACAGTTAAAGACTGAGAACAATGAGCTGCTGACAAAATGTCTTATAGTTCAGCACTCCAGCATGTAAACAGCCCTGCCTCAATTTAAATATGAGCTTTTTGGACATACACTATATAGACAAAAGTATTGGGACACACCTCCTAATTATTAAGTTCAGGTGTTTCCGCCACACCCATTACCAGCAGGTGGATAAAATTAAGCACACTTGCAGTAGAATAGGTCATACTGATGAGATCATTGACTTGGCACTGTCACAGGATGCCACCTCTGCCACAAGTCACACTGAACACTTCTGACTCAGTAAGTTTTACTAGAACACAGCATTTCACACCAAACCATTGTTTCTCAATGACAGAATTACCTCCCCTTCAAGGGGCAAAACACACTTCAAGTGTCAGTAAGGGCAGCTGGAGATCTGTCTCCAGTCAGTAAGGTTTGGTTCCATCCTTGTTCTAAAACACCTTGCTCTAGTATTTAGATAATCTTGAAGACCCTGATTAGCTGGATCATGCTTTAGGGTTAAGCATAGCTCTAAACTCTGCTAGCCTTCTACGTGATACCAACTGCATACACGTCTGATGATGCTCTTTTACCTCTCATCAGCCCCTGCTGGGACTCATTAACCTGCTGTTTTATTAAAAGAGTCATTGGTCTCTCGCTGTGTCTGATGTCTGTGGCATTCAGTGACATTTAGTAATTGATTACTTTTCAATGCTTTCCTTGGAACCCATGAGAGATAACTGGCACGGCTGCATCATGTGGCAAACTGATTATTCAAATTCCAGGATTTGAAAATGACAGCACAAAAAGTTAGTCCACTTTAGTGCCAATAACATTACACCTTTCATGTTACCTCTATTAGTAGTTTACTCTTCCAAACAAGTTTAATCCAGAGGCCAACAAATGTATCGTTGGGCCGATAAAAACGATTGCTATTAAATGTGCCATAGAAGGCATTTATTCAGTATTGTAAAATCTACTCTGATGTCTACACAGAAGGTGTGTGCCCAGATGTGGTTTTACATGCCTATTTACAACCCTGTGATTTGGCCCCAGAATGAAACAATCTGTTTTCCTTTTTTTGGTGGGCTCATGAATAATTTGATTGAGCTGTGCTCCAATTAGCTGTTTTACAGCGATGCAATACAATGGCTCACAAAGAAGCAACATGTCGAAATAGAAATAGGCAGAAAAATGAAATAAACCTGCGTGTAAATAAGCTAGGTCATCAGACTATTTAGTTAGCTATGCTTGTTACTTAAAGCTTGTTAGTAGCTAACATTACCTACGCTAGCTACTTGCTTTTGATCTCGACAGCAACACAAAGTAAATTAAAGTTGTTAGCTCACTATGAAATGTTCAATTTAAGATGATCTGGTTTCAACCGTCAAAAAGTGAATAAAATCACACAGCATGGCTAGCTACTTAGATGTTGCTGTTGGGGATGTAATGCTAATAAAGTTGGAACTTCCCCTTTCTTCAATGTCAAATGCCAAGCGAAGCCTGCTCGATACTGTCTAAAGTTTGAGAAACTGCCTGGAGTGAAATGTGCAGAGCAAACTAATAACTGAATTAAAGCTGTCCAGGATCCTGTTAAACATGTGGGTGCTAAAGTTATCATCTTATTTACCGGCTTGTTTTGCAAATTTCAATGGTGTTTTGGACCTTCACCGCAGTTACATTCTGGCGCCTGTACAACTGTTACGTAACAGTTTAGGATTTTGGAATTGACCCGTTTTACTGCCCTCTTTTGCAAATGCAGGATTTGCATTTGAAGGAGGAGACAACAGTGTTTGAGGCTCACAGAATGTCATTTCCATGTGACCAACTCTCCTCATTCAACTCTGCAGATATAGATACAGTTTTCCATTCTATGGCACCTTTAATGCTCCATTAATTTATTTCTCAGCCTCACTCAGCAAATATCACCAATAATGCACTGATAATGTAAAGGAATGACAATATTGTGTTCTAACATCAAAATATTAAGACAGAAAGTGATTCACCTTACTGGTGCTTTTATTAAGTAGAACAGACAATGTACTTTACATTTGCTCTTGCCCTTGCTTATTTTCCCATTTCAAGGTGAAATCATGAGGACAGTTATAAGTGTCTTGTTTTACATTAACAATATATGGACAAAAGTGAGTGGACACACCTACTATTTATTGAGTTCAGGTGTTTCAGCCACACCCATAACTAACAGGTGTATAAAATCAAGCACATAACCATGCAATCTCCACAGACATTGACAGTAGAATGGGTTACACTGAAGAGCTCAGTGCCTTTAAACACGGCACTGTCAAAGGATCCCACAAGTCAGTTTGTGAAATTTCTGCCTTGCCTGCTTCAGTGAACTCTAAGTGCTATTATTGTGAAATGAAAGCATCTAGGAGCAACAACACAAAGCAGTAGACTATGCAAACTCGCATAGTAGGGCTGCTAAGTGCTGAAGCGTGTAGCACGTAAAAATTGCCTATCCTCCATTGCGTCACCCACCACAATGTTCAAACTGCCTCTGGATGCAACATCAGTACTAGAACTGTGCATCCATAGCTTCATGAAATAGGTTTCCAAAGTAGGCATCTGCACACAAGCCTAAGATCACTACACTGATGTGGTCTAAAGCATGCCACCACTAGACTCTGGAGCAGAGGACATGTTTTCTTTGGAGAGTTGAATCCCAGTTCACTATCTGGCAGTCTGATGGATGAATCTGGGTTTGGCAGATGCAAGAAGAACATACTGGAATGCATAGTGCCAAAAGTAAAGTTTGGTGGTGAAGAGATAATGGTCTGGGACTGTTTTTCAAGGCCGCTTAGTTCCACTGAAATGTAACGTTCATGCTACAGCATAAAATTATAATATAAATCATTTTAGAAAATTCTATGCTTCCAACTTTGTGGCCACAGTTTGGGGAAGGTCCTTTACTGTTCCAGCATGACTGTGCCCTGTGCACAAAGCAATGTTCATAAAGACAAGGTTTGGCAAGTTTGCTTGAGGAAGAACCTCAGTGGCTTACACAGAGTCCTAACCTCAGCCCCACTGAACACCAGAGCATGTGAGTGGTGCAGAGTGGGAGCGCAGTAGGAGTGGAGCAACATGATTTGGCCCAGTGCACAGAGCAGCTTTTCAGAAAGTCAGAGCGTCAGTTTTCTCTCTTGCTCTGAAATCTCTTCAGTAGTGCTTCAATCCTGTGAGCCAGACAGTCCCTTTTTTCCACAGTGATTACAACTACGTAAAATGACTGATGCGGCAGTGACTGCTACAGTTCACACATCACAACCATTCATACACAGAATTTGCGCTGCGGAGCTGTTCAGCAGACCTACATACCGGAAATTCTCACCAATCGCAACAAAGTTCTACAGAGGTTGTCTCATGTCATCCACTTTGGATGGTGTTAAAAACACGTGCATTTATTTACCCCCGTTTTCTAGCTTGTGATTCATGCCTACACCTTCCAAAAAAAAACATTTGTAGTACAGAATGTTTAACTATTTTTTTGTTTAATAGCGTCCATAAATTACAATTAATTAAATAAAGCGTGTAGTGACATGCCCATACATTCAAGACATAAAATAAAAATAATAAGAATGGATCATATGGAAGCAGACGTGGAGCGGGGTTTCTCTGACATGTGAGCGAGGAGCAGGAAATTGAAAACCCAGAGCGGAGTGATTACAGAAACGCTTTGGGTGAAGAGCGGAAATGTCTGCAGCTCCACTTTGCTCATATGCTTTGCTGAACGCCTTTAGGATAATTGGAATGTCGATTTCAAGCCAGAGCTTCTCGTCCAACCTCAGTGCCTAACCTCACAAATGCTCTTTTGACTGAATAGATATATATTCGTACAAACACAATCCAAAAGCTTGTGAAAAGACTTCCTAGAAGAGTGAAGGCTGTTATAGCTGCAAAAGTGGACCCAACTCCATATTAATGTCCATGGTATTGGAATGAGATGTCCAACAAGCTCAAACAGGTGTGTTCAGGTGTCCACATACTTCTGGCCATATATTGTATATCCAGAGGTGGATAGTTCCTGTGCTGACACATGCTGGAAGTACTATTGTTCCCTTTAAATTTTAAAGTAAAGTGCATTACCTATGGGTTTAGGCTACTTTGTCCATGTATGTTTTTATCAGATTTCTTATCTGTCATACACAAAAAAATCATCAAACTTATAAAATCATATCTGACACGATAACTACTTTAATTAAAAATATTGGAAACTTTTATTATTGACTGTATATCAGCCAATATGATAAGTTATTAGAATTTTTAGCTCTTAAAATCGGTGACAACATTTCATATTGTTGGGCCTCAGCTCAATCATTATATTTATACATAATAAAGAACATGTAATGACACAATGTAATAACTTATGGCCTGAAATAAGTGTTGTTACATAAAATTACATTACATAACAAAAATAATTTCGATGAGACCAACTCATCCACTTACTTATCGGGAGAGGGACAGTTCCGGAGGCTTGGCTGCGGGGAGTAGGACAGCCTTGGTTGGGGACTCACTCTTTGGGTTCTAGAGGGGGCAGAAGGGCTCCAAAGCACTGGCTCCAGCGGGGATTGGGCTCGGCTCAGCAACAGAATCGTCTGAGACCCAGCCTGGCCTTCGGGCCCGCAAGGCCTGGCTTTGATCTCATGGACTGGGGTGGCTGGGCGATGCGCCAGCTTATGGGCTGGCAAGGGAGTGAAGGACGGAGAAAAAGAACAAGAAAAAGAGAGAGAGAGAAAGAGTAACAGAGAGATGACTTCTGAACTCATCAAAAGCTTGGGTCCTGCAGACTAAAATGAGGAGAGGTTTAAATGAGGCCTTTGTCGATGTTGAAGAGCATCCTTATAACTGAACATTCAACATGCTGCTGTATTCTTGTCAAATTTAGAGAATGTTACTGCTGCTTAGCCATCAAGTCTTTACTAGTTCTATCTTGAAATATATGCATTAACCTCGGTGGTCAAAGGGCACATTCTCGTTTTTTGCATATCTTCTTCAATTCGTCTGTAAAGGAACTTGCAAATAACTTGATACTCATATGTTTCATATCAAAATGCTACGTTATCTTTGCTGCTACTTTCTAAAACCGCTGCAGCAACCTCAGCAGCTGTAAACGTCCACTGAATTAAGGGTTTCCGACTTGATGGGTAAGTCCTTAATGATTTCCTGAGTGTTCATGGGTCAGGTTCACACATCTAACAGGTGGACACATTTATACACTGTACAGATGATGTATTTCTCAACCCCTCTTCATAGCCTCATAATTCCAGATTCAGGAAACGTTTGAACTGTATTTCTGCACTGTATTATTGCAAAGACAGAGAAACATATATAGAAACATTGAATTTGAAACACGGGCAAGTTGGCAGACCCCAGAGCGTTACAACGGATGCTTTCTGTCTGTGAGAACTATATTGTCATAGCCACGTTTATCAGCACTGTGAGAACTGTATTGGGAGAACTATACTGCCTGAGAGAACTACATTGTATGGCTGCATTCCTCAATACTGTGACAACTTACTGCATCAGTGACAATGTCAGAGATGAGTTTGGTAAGCCAAGTATGAAGCTGTGGTGGTATTTTTCTGCTAAGCTGCCATTCTTGAAAAGGGCAGGCTTGCAACGCTTCATTGTTGTAAGCATTCTTCATATCAAGTGTACTGAGTAAGGATCAATGACAGAAGCAAAAAGGAAAACACAGGTCTGATGTCATTACAGACAGTGTGTGACTGACTGGACAACTGCCTTAGTGGAAGTAGTCTGACTGCTTTTGACTGCATCGGTGTACTGTGGCTGACTGAAACTGACTCAAAAAACAAGGCCATCAAAAAGGGAAATGTTAGATTTATTCATAAATGCATTTCATGTCCTTTCATAACCCTCCAAAAGAAGAGAGGCACACTCAGATATGAAGTATCGAACATGGCTGTTTGAAATGCCTTATGTAATATCTGATGGAATGCTGAAAGAGGTGTGTGTGTGTGTGTGTGTGTGTGTGTGTGTGTGTGTGTGTATGGCCTTACTGAGAGATGTGCAGCGGCAGGGGTCATGTTTGTCTAGATAGTGCTCCAGGGTGTCCCATCCTCCACCCACTCTCACCATCACATGGTTCCTTAAGATCTACACACAGACACACAATCATTTAATGAAAAAATTATGCCATTATCCATTATGCAAAAACTACCTGACTGTATCACACGTATCACATCAAGTGGGGAACCCTGAGCCCTGAACTCTTCTAGGCCCTTAAAGAAGGCCTAATGATTTTGATGAATTAAAACAAAATACATTTCTGTAATTTGTAGCTCATTTTTATTTAATAGAATGCTTACTGTATTATATTATTCCAGTGTTGTAGTACTACTCTCATTTCCTTGTTAACAAGTTTTGGTTAAAAAAGGGGTTAATTCTTGAAACGCCCAACTGAAAATGATCCAATTAGGATTTTTTTTTCTCCATGGTCTCTAAGTAGATACAGCCAAGAGAGCTCTCCCATTGGTTAGGACTTCAGCAGCTAAACACAGAGGCTAATATCAGATTAATCACTAACTAATAAGGAACTCACAGTGGAATAACAAAATCACGTTTTGATTTGTAATGGGTGGGACCAATTTTGTGGGAGAAAACATCATTTATGCCTTCAGGAAATCCTAGATACATCACTCACCGTGAATATGAGTGGCAGCCTAATCAATGTGTTTCAGTCAGTTGTTAGAAATGGAAAAACAATGGCAGCTCTATGCAGGAGTCATAACTGAAACAAGTCAAGTCAGTTTTTTTTTTTAATTTTTACCCGATTTTCTCTCCAATTTAGTCGTCTCTAATTCCACCCTGCTAGTTAGGACTCCCCCAGTCACATGATGCTATCAACGCTAGGAGGGCGAAGGCTAGCACAGGCTTCCTCCAAGACCTGTGAAGCCAGCCACTGCATCTTTTTGAACTGCCGTTCACGCAACGTCATTGGACAGCCGAACACGCTCGCAGGAAAGCGCCAACCGCCAGTTCTGTTACGTCAGCTAACAGATGCCTGCGCTGACTAGCATCGCATTGAGTGGTGGGGGAGAAGGAGGGGCCCAATTGTCTGCAGTTTAATCTAGAATAGGCAAAAAATGTTCCTATGTTAGTTAGCTTAGTGCTACCATACTACTAGAATCCCATAGGGGTGCTAATGATGATGATATTACCATTATGACAGAGGTGTTTTTCTCCTCCCTGTTTTAACAGTCACAGTTCACCACTGATAAAGTCGGTTTATATATTTACATATTAGTACATGGCTCTCTGGGACCACAGAGCATATTGCCCTAATTTTTTTTTTTTTTTAAAAATAGCATATCATTTTTTTACATGGTGTCTAAGAGAATTACAAGCTCATCTCTACTTGTGTGACAGATTGTCAAACAAGAGAGCAGAAACAGGGACAGAATGAGAGGCACTCTGAAAGTGAGAAATAGAATTACTGATGAGAGAGAGAGAGGGGGAGAGAGAGATGATACTGAGGTTTGTTTACTCGCACAAATATAAGGGTGTTGGAGTCTCCAACTCTGTATTTGCCATCTGATATCTTCACCATGGGGAACTGGGTGGGACAAGTGCAGCGACTTATCAGATACTGAACCTGCACATACAAGTGGTAAAAAGATAAACACACACACACAGACACCCTTTATTGAGGTTATTTTACAAAGCCCCTCATGCTCAGCCTGCCTGCCTTTGATCCCTTTATCGGTTCAATATATCAGAAAGGTACCAACAGCATATGTAGATCAATAGCAAGAAAAGTCACAAATCAAAATGGGAGCAACAGGAGGTGCATCATCCCTCACTTAATGAGCTTTTTCACAGTGTATGAACTTTTGGTCTCTGCTGACAACAGAATACAAAACTGTCTCCAGACAAACTGTGGCTACTGACAAAGATTAGATTAAGGCTATGCTTTGTCACTGCCAGTATATACATTTTACAGGCCAATCAATCACATACACAGCACATCAAAGGTTTGGGGACACCTAGCTTTCTAAAGTGTTTTTATTAAATGAGGCAAATGTTTTTTGGTTTGTAATAAAGAAGAAAAAAGAGTCATTTGTAATTTGTCTTTGCAAAAAACTGCAAAATTGAAGGAATGACAAAGGTACTTGTAAATTATGATAAAGCCCATTTTCTCTACTTGTGACTTAAGCAAGTCATATGCAAAGGTTGAGCATCCCCAGTCAAACTATGTGTTTACATGCTTTGTTGATGTTCTAAGTGAAAACAAGTTAACACATCATCTACAGGATTTAACATATTGGAAAAAAATCAAATACCAAATGTGTCATAAATTTTGCATTTTTCACATTTTTTTGTTTTATTTTTTCAAATAAGCAAAGAAACCGAAGTGTGCTCACTGTAGAGGATGTGTTAACTTTATTTACACTTAAAAATCAACTAAACATGTAATGTGACATGCTATTTGTTATCTACCTGCCTTCATTTAAACTAAGATACACATTAAAACATGGCTGAACATCTAAATGTCTAATCCTTCTAAGCTGACTGAGTGTAACCTCATATGACAGCCTCCTCCCCCATGTATTACAGATCACAGGCCACTCACCATCTCATCCAGGTTCTGAGTGTTCTGTATGCATCTCTGGGCCACAGGCTGTGTTGTCTCATGCACAGGCTTCTCCATCTCCTCCAGAATCTCCTCCTCGATCTCCTGCTCCAGCTGGATGAGGACAGGAGCAGCCATCCCAAAGCGAGAGGCCCGTCGGGCCACCTCGAGCAGACAAAGCACAAAGTTCTTCTCATTCTTGCGCAGGACAAGGTCATCTGTCTCAAACATTAAAACATCTGTGGGAGAGGGAGGGCTTGAAAGTGGTAAACTGGATCAGAAAACATGGTCACAGCACATATACAGTAGTCTGGAGGACAATGATCTGGTAATAAAGTCCAGTGTAGACACCTTGACAAAAATGTCAAGTCATTTTTCTGTACGCATGTGTTAAGAGGACATTAGGTGAAAAAAAAAACTAATAACAATTTAAAACAGTTCAAGATAAAGACTTAAACCAGTCTACAAACCAAAGCAGTAGATCGAAGTGTTGACATTTATGATCCTGACATTTCCTTTTGAGAAGTGATCATCACATAAAAATATTGATACTAATTGTTTCATTTAAAGGGTAATTTCACCATGAAAATTTCTGAATAATTTGGTCCTTGAGATGTAAACAGAGTCATTCACAGTGGTTTTGATGTGAAACGAGTCATTGTAGAGAAATGTACAGACTCAGATTTCTTTACCGTGGTGGTGATAAGAACCAGGGGTCACAATGTGTGCAATACAAATATAGCCCTTTTATTTAATATCCAAAACCACCAGTGAACCTATACGTGCCTTCTAAATTTTTATATGCTGATGATGGTAAAATAGTGGAAAATCTTCTCTTTGGGGACAATTTCTCTTTACAACTCCCTGCATGTACCGTTTCACCATAAATGGATTAAATACATGGATTATTATACCGTTTAAGCCAAAGCTTTAGCACAAAACTGTCATAAAATAACGTGTCACATCAGAGATCCAACTCCTACTGTCTAACCATCTCATGTAATACCTTTCCGTGAGAGAGCTTTTAGAGGTGGACGTCTGGTTACTATCATCTCCAAGTTTTATCTAGAATGGAGCATTTCACACAAACCACTCTGAAAGATTTTGTTTACATGTCAACCATTTAACTATGTTGACATTTTTTGAGTTCCCCTTTAAGCATGAACTGAATATCTTTTTTAGGAAGTTAAAGTATAGGATATGAACTTTTTCAGCCTTCTCTTTCTGCTTCTCAAACATGCACATGAGCCGGAGTGAATGGTCTAAAAGCAGATCACATTGGCGTTATTTCTCTGCACTAAGCGGTCAGGTTATATACTAACGTAAATACAGTTTGTGATTAGTATATTAGCCTCCTTCCTTGGTATCGGATGGAAAAGAAAGTAAATGATACATCCCCATAAAACAGCACACGAAGCGCTATTGACTCTAATTAGTCAAGCTAATACCGCCACCTAGTGGTACAATTACAGCATGAATCTAATTCAGCAGTAATCCAAGTATTTTAAAGATGCTTGCAACGTTGGTTATGTGTGTGGGGATAAGCCTATAAAGTAATCTTATTTGAAAAAAGCAGCGGTTACCTTTAATATTCATCTGATGACGACACCAGTTGATAAAATTGGACACGTTATCCCGGGCTAGAAATGTCGCAGGTGGAGCTGAAACGAAAGTAACTCCAGATGTGGGCAGCTGCAGGTGAGTCCGGCCGTGTGTCTGCCTAAACTCCTCGGCCACCCGTGTCACGTTGTTGGCGTGGGCACAAAGCAAAGCGCCCGTCTCCAGCACATCCAGTATGTTGTTAACGGTCACGTCGATGCGGTATAACTCCTTCAGCCACTCGGCTAAGTCCTCCTTCATCGCATAAAGGTACTCCTCGCTTGACTTGAACGGCTTGATGCTCTGGCTGGACGCTTGCTCTATTGCAGACATAGTGAAAATGCTTCATTCACCTCCACCGTCTTGGAGGGTCGTCGTTTAATTACGTTAATAAAATAATACAATTTTTAAAGTTTTCCTAACGTTAACTTCACTCCCAATTTGAAAAAAAGCTGAGTTGTCTTGTGGCGCGGTAGCCGTGTTAGCATAAACAAGACAGGTTGCTTCACAGAATTGCTAAGCAGTTAGCTAGATTACGAAGTTTTGTACGGAGACGACACGATGTAAACATTTAATTCAAGACTACATAATATTCATTAAGAGCAGAATTCACGTACAGAGTGTAAACTTATCGAAATAACGCCTCATTCGCTCCTGAGTCTGAAACGTTTCTCATGGTTTTATTTTGTTGGAAGACTAAACTAACTCGCCCTGTTGCCCCTGGTTACCAGATAGCGACTGGTTTCAAACACTCCGCTTAACCATTTGAGGACCATCACCTGAACTGATTAAAGCGGAATCCCACTGATTTTCCATCATTTCTGCAGAATTAAACCGTTAAGATGTAAATAAAGTGGTTCAGAGTAGTTTAATGTGAAGTGGTGCATTGTAGAGAAACTTAACAGGTTAGAGCCGTTCACAACGGTGGTGATAGGAACCAGACGTCTGAAGAGTTGAATGCCACTGAAAGGTCTCTCACAGAAAGTTACCACAAAAAATACCCCGGTAAAGTTAGTTTTGTTTTCGATATTCGTCTTTTCGGCGCTAATAACATTTGATCGGACTACGGTGGTCAGTACAGACTTACATATTCATGACAGTACGACCACAGAGAGTGATGCACACCTGTTCTTTTGCGGTTTTGGTGACATTTAACGTACCGCTATTTTGTGTTAATACCATAGAACTGAGACACGTTTTTCAGTCGGAAGGAAAATCATGCACTTCTAGACCACGCCTACATCCATGCACACGCCTCTGTTTTCCTCCAAAGCGTTTCAGTGTATTTAAATACGTTTTAATTGTTCGTGCTAACAACAGACACCGCCAAACAATAGAACGTCAATAGCTCCATAAACACTGTGTGTCCATACACATCTGATTAATTGTGTTATTTACTGTAAATTATGGTTGGAAACACACACCACGTTAATTTAGAAAAAGGACTTTGAATTAACCTGTTACTAAAATGTACTTGCCAATACTTGTCCTAACAGTACTGAGCATACCTTACCTGTAAAAACTGATATTACCTATATACTGATATAGCTGGTTAGCTTGATGACAGGTTCAGTAACTGACAGACATTAGCAGTCTTGAAGGTTTAATAGATCCTTAACCATCTAAAATATTAGTTTAAAAAATTAGAGTGTAGAAAAGAAAACATCTTATTTAAGTGGATTAAATTGCAAATCAAAAGTTTAAATCCATCAAACACTAAGTGAGTCAGATGTAAGTTTTAAATCTTGTACATTTTTTTCATTATGAATTTCGATAACATTTTAGACATTGAAAATTTAAGTCAGCAGTGTTTGGTGCAGATAAGTTTCAGTGATGACACACAAACTTTGAATGTCACTTGAGGATGCAATGTAGCTAAAATACTGCTTAGATTCAAAATGCAGCATTCACTGCAATTATTACAGCTGAAATGTTTTTGAAGGTTAAAATACAAATATTAATATAAAGTAATTATTACAGTACATTCAAAACTCAACAGTTGTGTATGATTGCTGAAACTTACCTGCACCATATACAATTGTTTGTAGTGTTGGGTGTAATACAGCTGAAATGCTACTGAAATTCAAAATTGATAAAGGTTAAAGCAATATATCCAAACTTTAAAGGCTGTGCACCATACACAGCTGTTTTTAATGTTGTAAATAATGCAGCTGAAATATTATTGAAATTCAAAATACATAAAAATGAATAAAAAGTAGTTACAGCAATATGTCCAAAATTTAAAGGTTGTGCATCATTGCTGACACCTCACTGCACCATACACAGCTGTTTTTAATGTTGTAAATAATGCAGCTGAAATATTATTGAAATTCAAAATAAATAAAAACTAATAAAAAGTAGTCACAGCAATATATCCAAAATCCAAAAGCTGTGCATCATTGCTGACACCTCACTGCACCATACACAGCTGTTTGTAATGTTGTAAATAATGCAGCTGAAATATTATTGAAATTCAAAATATATAAAAATTAATAAAAAGTAGTTAAAGCAATTTATCCAAACTTTAAAGGCTGTGCATCATTGCTGACACATCACTGCACCATACACAGCTGTTTTTAATGTTGTATATAATTTAGCTGAAATATTATTGAAATTCAAAATACATAAAAATTAATAAGAAGTAGTTACAGGGATATATCCAAAATCCAAAAGCTGTAAATCATTGCTGACACTGCACTGCACCATACACAGCTATTTTTAGTGTTGTATGTAAGCTGGCCAAAATATTATTAAAGCTCAAAATAAATAAAAATTAATATAAAGTAGTTATTGCATTATATCCAAAATCCAAAGGCTGTGCATCATTGCTGACACTGCACTGCACCATACACAGTAGTTTTTAGTGTTGTTTGTAAGATGGGCAAAATACTGTTGAAGTTCAAATTAAATAAAAAAAATAACGTACTTATTGCATTATATCCAAAATCCAAACAGTGTGTATGACTTCTGACACTTCAGTGCACTGTACACAATTCTTTGTAGTGCTGTATGTAATGTGACTGGAATATAATTGAAATTCAAAAAATATGAAAAATTATTTAAATGAGATATTGCATTAGATCCAAAATCCAAAAAAAATGTATGAATGGTGATACCTAGCTGCACCATACACACTTATTTTTGGTGTTGTATGTAATGTGGCTGAAATATTATTGAAGTTCAAAATAAATAAAAATTTATATAAAGCAGTTATTGCATTACATCCAAAATCCAAAAATTGTGTATGATTGCTGACATCTTGCTGAACCATATACAATGGTTTTAGTGATGTATGTAATATGGTTGAAATGCTATTAATTCAAAATACATAAACATTAATATAAAGTATAAAGCTATTTCAGCTAAATTATATACAACATTAAAAACAGCTGTGTATGGTGCAGTGCAGTGTCAGCAATGATGCACAGCCTTTAAATTTTGGATATATTGCTGTAACTACTATTTATTATTTTTTATGTATTTTGAATTTCAATAATATTTCAGCTGCATTATTTACAACATTAAAAACAGTTGTGTATGGTGCAGTAAGGTGTCAGCAATGATGCACAGCCTTTGAATTTTGGATATATTGCTGTGACTACTTTTTATTAATTTTTATGTATTTTGAATTTCAATAATATTTCAGCTGTATTACACCCAACACTAAAAACAATTGTGTATGGTGCAGTGATGTGTCAGCAATCATACACAACTTTTGAATTTTGATTGTACTGCAATAATTACTTTATATTAATATTTGTATTTTAACCTTCAAAAGCATTTCAGCTGTATTAATTGCAGTGAATGCTGCATTTTGAATCTAAGCAGTATTTTAAATGTTCAATGTCTAAAATGTCGAAATTGAAAATGGAAAAAATAACTTAATTCTGACTCACTGAGTTTTGATTTGCAATTTGATCCACTTAAATAAGACGTTTTCTTTTCTACACTCATTTTTTAAACTAATATAGATGGTTAAGGATCTATTAAACCTTCAAGACTGCTAATGTCTTAGGACAAGTATTGGCAAGTACTTTTTAGTTACAGGTTAATTCAAAGTCCTTTTTCTAAATTAAAGTGGTGTGTGTTTCTAACCATAATTTACAGTAAATAACACAATCAGATGTGTATGGACACAGTGTTTATGGCGCTATTGACATTCTATTGTTTGACGGTGTCTATTGTTAGCACGAACAATTAAAATATGTATTTAAATACACTGAAACGCTTTGGAGGAAAACAAACGCGTGTGCATGGATGTAGGCGTGGTCTAGAAGTGCATGATTTTTCTTCCGACTGAAAAACGCGTCTCAGTTCTATGGTATTAACATAAAATAGCGGTACGTTAAATGTCACCAAAACCGCAAAAGAACAGGTGTGCATCACTCTCTGTGGTCGTACTGTCATGAATATGTAAGTCTTTACTGACTACCGTAGTCCGATCAAATGTTATTAGCGCCGAAAAGACGAATATCGAAAACAAAACTAACTTTACCGTGGTACAAAAAATTGTTATGAACACACTACCTGATGCATGAGACATTGTTTTACAATAGGTCTTAGATGAGGTTTTGACTTAAAATGTATTTTAAGATTCTATTATTATAAGATTTAAATGCCATTTGTGTCCCATTGATTTTGCATTTATAATTTATGGTAAGTAAAAGTAGAAGACAACCAGTTTAAAAACAGGTAACATGTCCGTCATAACAACCTCAGTCCATATTTCAGAAAAATAACTTAAAACATTAGTGAAATTTATCTACACTACAGAAAGCACTACAGCTAAACTTTACCATGAAATATGGTCATTAAAATACTTTGAATATTGTGTTATTTTTGCATTAATGTGTGAATACACTTGAAACATCCTTTTTCATGTGTCGTCCATTATAGGTTATGAAAAAGGTACTTTTTAGTTGTGTCCTTCAATATTTGATCTTTATGAAATGTCTATAATATCTAAAAGCCACTTTCAATGGGAAAATTTCATAATCCAAATTTACTGGGAATTTACTTTTTTTCATGGGAAGAAAAAAATAGGTTCTTACAACGCTGTTACCCAATTTATTAACTAAAGATGTTTAAAAAAAACAAAGTAAATCAGTAGAATGTCCTTAATGTCCTACATTTTGTGTATTTGCTAATCCAATGCTAAAAAGCTCAACTCTGTTCCTCATTTAAGCTGCAGTCAGCACAGAAACCTTGTAAAAAAAAAAAAAATAAAGATATTGTTTCTGAGACAGGTTAATACATTTTACGAATGGTTAAATGCGGGTTGTCTTAGATTCAGCATTGAATTGGAAAATGTTAAATAAATAAATGAATAAATAAAGTTTCATTTGTAAGAGTAACCAGGGCTAAATGGCATCCCAATTGTGGAATCAGATCTACCTCTATTTTACCACTATCAAAATTACACATTAAATTTCAGAAGACACATGTAGTGTCACTAGTTGTTTTGGACGTGTTACAGACCCTGGTTCCTTACACGGTCACTGTAAGGAATATAACACATCATCTATAACACATCACCTCTCATCAAACCACTCTGCATGACTTTGTTTACATCGCAACAACTTAATTGTTTAGAAATTTTGAAACATTGGTGGAATCCACCTAACTCCCACAGATTTCCACAGGGCAAAGAAATGCAGTTAGGTTCAGAATAATCTGTTACCTGGACATCTATTCTGACCATACTAGTTCAGGGAAGAAAGTGAAACATGATGAAATTACAGTTTTGAAAAGTCTATAGAATTCCCTTTTATACACAAGTTATGTTTTCTTTATCTGTTTCCAACAACTTGAGACAAAGCAGAAAAACATGACAAGTTCGAAAATATGGAACAGACTTTACTCAGATGGAAACCAATACATTTGTCAAGAAATTAGGATTTAACTCTGTCCATATTTACATTAAGGCTTACTTGCCCATTCTTATTTACATCAGCATTTCAGAATACTGAAACTCAATGAAATTAAATCAAACCTTACATGTCAGCATCAAATAAATGATAGTGATGTGTCAGCTCCAGCATAAATTAGGATTATAGAGTTAACAGTTCTGGTATCCTCTGTGCCTTTTTGAATGTGTCATAAATCAAATGTCAAAAATCATCAAATGTCTTGGGTATCATCATGATAAATTGATCATTTTGTGCCAACACCATGTAAGATTTTGATTGGACATTTAACATTTAAAAGATGAAACCTCAGTACAACCATGTTGAACTGAGAGGGGTCCACTGAAAGAAGTCCAGTGTGAAAAGCCTGTTTCTGTATCTTACACCTCACGCAGTCCAAACACAATCAGTATAACGTTCTGATGTTGAGAAAACGTTTTTTTTTTTCCAGAGACGATTTCACCTTGTTCAAAGTAAACTTTTTTGAAAGTGCAAAATTTAACAAAATCATCCAGAGTAAATCTTTAAATTAACAGTAAGACTCCAGTTCTGAACTCCATCATTAAAGCAATACTTCACCTCAAAATGCTAACATAGCTTATAGTTAATTCTGATGAAGGCCATTGGGCATAATCTCATATGCATGACATTACCTGGCCCTTATTTGCTGAGGCAACATTAACATTTCTGGGTGCTATTTTGCTTTAAAATTGTACTACATAGAGTCTGCTGTCTGTACTATCTGTTCTTATTCTTTTTCTTCTTTCCAGAGCGCTCCCGTCTCTGGAACTTGCTTTTTTTATGCTTTTCATCCCCTCCTTCACTGCGTCGAGTGAAAACTGGCATAGGAGGCTCAATCTCTCCAGGTCGACCTCCTCTATCTGGTACACTACCCATCAGCACCTGTAACCAAAGAAGTAATGGAAATGTTCCCAATCACAGATGATTTCCAATACTTGTAAGTTTTTAAAATATGTATTTGTTGCATTCATGGGCATAGATAAATTAATAAAGTTACAGAACATGAGAACATGTTTATCAAGGCTTTGACATGATCACTGTAGATCATGACAGCCGTGATATTATTCATGATAACACATGACCCCGAGTGTTGTATTGCTTTTATACAGCAGTTCTGCAAAGTAAGAAAAAAGGAAAGCAAAGACAATTGCTTAAAATGTTTTAATTAAAGTACTTTAAATTAAATATGTTATTAATTACGTTCTTCCAACAGACAGGTAGTTATGGTAGCTTAGAGAAGCCCACTGTTGTTGTTTAGCTCTTGGGAATAATAAAGATACGGGGGAAAGACAATAGGGAAGGAAAGTGGTCAGATTGCCCCCTGCTGTTTGTATTCAAAATGTAAGCCAAGAATGAATTGGAGGTGATGCACATTACAGGTTGTACCACATAATGTGTCGTGTCACCCCCTATATTTAGTTATCTTCCACAATATGCCAATGTTCCAAATGACTGACAGTAAAAACCAGAAATGCAGTTTTTCAGTGTTTCCCCAATTCACCACAAAGCAATGCCAACACAGAATCATGGGTTTATACAGCAAATTAAGTGTATTATATTTTTCACAGTTATATTGCTTAGCAAACTATTCTGCAATTATGGTGTATTTAAAGCTGATGTGCTTATACAGTCACAAAATGTCACGAATGTTTTGCTACAGCATACAGCTGCATTATGTAAGATTTTTTTTTGTTATAACTCAAAGAAGTAGCATTATTAAGCTATGAGTGTGTGCACTGCTGCGAGTCACTCTGTAAAGCCTCAAATAATAATTTAAAAAGTCAGAGGGGTTGGGTCGGACTTTGCGGGAGTTTTGTATTAACGTTACACGCAGGCTCAAAAAGAAGGTCTGACTCGATATTTACCCAACATTATACCCATGAAGATGATGACAATAGTAAACAATTTACTTACATCCTCGAAAGACACACCAAGAGTTCTCTTTAAATACTATATCAATGCACTAGTAATCATCAAATTGGGGAAAGGGTTTGAAGCATAACCAACGTTACAAAATGTTCCTCTGCACATTGCATGCAATGAAACATTTCCACCACAGAGGTCTCCAAATCCCCAAAACTTACATAGTGCATCTTTAAGTGATTTTTAAGGCATTATCAAAATTTCGGTATGGCGGTATATTCGGTTTAAACTCAAGCAGCAGACAGCATAGGTTTGTTTAGTAGAAACTAACTGTTGTGTAGTTTACCAAAGTAAATATGCTCTGTTCTAAGTACAGTACCTTGTGAATGGCTGTGGATGGTCCTGCTCTCACTGGCAGAATGCGAGACTGATCCTCTCTGGCTGCCAGCAACAGTGCAATAGACACTGACGACTCGAGTGGTGCCGAAAAAGGAGGTATAGATGACAGCAGAGTGCTGCGTTCCTAAAGGAAGGAGGTACACATTCAGGGAATGCAATATATATTGAACAGTACAGTGCACAATGTTCCATTCATTGAGTGCACTAAAAGTCCTCAAGTAGGAAAATTAAAATGCTGCATGTCTTAGTAGAGGAGGGCAATATGGTTAAAATACACAATACGTTCAATAATTTGGAATGGACATTTAAAATGCCACCAAAATCTGAGTGCAGTCATTTCTTTCATTCAACATTTCATGAACTATGCAGCAATGTATCCAATTAAACAGGACCAATTGTGCTCTCCGGCTGAACTATGCAGTTGACAGCACTCCTTAAGCACTGGCGACACACACAACATACTCAGAAAATGAAATCATGGCATAATTTATTGTGATAATGATACAGAGTTGTATGCAAACATTTGGGCACGCCTGGTCAAATAACATGTTCTGTTTTATGCACAATTACTGTTTATCTGCTGAATTTAACATCAGGGAAAGAATAAGCGCAAAAGTTATGGCACATGTTATGTTTTATTTTTTTCCAATGCTGACCTCAATAGAAAATGTGGATTAATTTTGCATTAACATGTTACATTTAAGTTTGTTCTCTGTAGAGGATGTGTTAAATTGTTTACATTTAGAAAATAAACAAAACATGTCATTTGACAGGGAGTGCTCAAACTTTTGCATGCAACTGTATGGTCATATTGCCTGCCCTAAATCTTTGTACCTTTCCCCGCTCTCCCCATGCAAAGGACTGGAGTGTGACGTAGAAGCGCTTGATCATCATTTGGCGGCGACACTCATAATCTTTGCGCAGAGTTTGGTTTATCAGATGAACTTTGCTCTGAAATCAAACAGGATTATAAAAGAATATGAAAACTTAGAGACTCAACACTTATGTAGAAATTTAGTCATGGTGCACAACTGGCTAACTTTGTGGCATGGTCTAATTTATACCCATTGTGAAGAATTCAGATTAGTCTTGAGCAATGGCTCACGCTCTTCACCCTCTGGGAGAGATGCCAGTCGTGATTCCACCTGAATGAATGGATGTTTACTGATACATACAGAGAGAGTGGCACAATTATGTTCAGTGGTTACTGAAAGCCTGCACTCCTGTTACTTTCCTACCTGTGGGTAAACATCGCTGAGCTGAGAGGCTGGATCCATATCCAGAGCCTGAAACAACTGTGCCAGTTCCATCATTATCTCTTTCTCATCTTTTTTATGCCCCTCAGCTTGGGTCTCCTCCTCAATGTCTATGATATTACATTCTTGCCCTCTTTGCTCTTTGCCTGATTCACTCTGTGGCTCAGTGTCTTCTGGATGGCTCTCTCTGTACTGCAGCATATGTGCTGCCTGTAACTCGGACACCAGAAAATCTGTAATTGGGGTTAAACAACAAAAGCACATACCTCTTAAAGGAACAGTCCAACAAGGAATTGTTTTAAAGAATAATTTGGGTAGTTTTTTTGTGAAATATGTGCTTCTGAAGTAAATTATGGCTTTAATAAATAAAGAGGAGTTTCAAACTTTCAGCATAGTTTAAATGTTAAGATGTAAGCATTTTTGGTCAATATCAAAACACAGAGTTTTCATTCATAGCTGGAGCCTTATTTTAACCACATAATTTTAACTCTGCATTGTAGAGCAGAAAGAGACTGCATCCCTGTCCCTTATGGCCGCATGGTGAGCAGATCTCATTGTTTTGAAGTAAATGTGTCCCAAAGTTTGAAAATCAGTGTATAATCGTAAGAATTGTCACTACAGAAACACATAATTTTGTACAATTCAGTGTATGATTGTTTTGTTAGTGACAGATTCAATGTTCAATCACTTTTTTAAATAATATAAACATAAGTAAGGGGTAGGGTCACTCAAAGCAAAACGATTTTAGTCTAAAGTCCAAAGCAGTTAAAGGTCCGAAATGTGTTTTGAACTCTGACTTTGAACCATTTTGGTAGAATGATCCATAGAGATTGCATTTTCACTGCAATCTCTGCACATATTTTCGGCATTTAAGTAAACTTTTAGGGTGATTTCATGAATAATGTTAGGATTTTATGTTTGTACAACTGTTCAAAGCTGTAGCTGCTAGTTATGTACTGGCTAGTGTTTTTGAGTTATGCTCAAAAGTAAATAAAATGGCTATATTTGTGTTGTAAACAGTATGATTCCTGTTTTCATCATAATAAATCGTAATAAAATTTTATTAACTTTATGAACATCTCAAAATTTTGAAAAATAAAGTAATTCCTTAACTTCCACAGACTTCAAAGAAATGCAGTGTCAGGTTCAGAACTATTTATGTCTACATAACTACTTTGGCCATAATAGATCAGGGACAAAATGGAATTTGACAAAATCCAAAAATGCATCACTTACCATGACATTTAAATAAGAGTGCAGCAGTAAAATAGTCCCAAACAAATCATAAAACTACTTGCATCCTGTCCTTTATCAGATCTTACCCTGAGATGGAAATAACAACACAACTACTTGAGAATGGTGTAGCGCTGATTTAGTGGTATATAAAAAGTTTCTAAAAGCAGTTTATTGTCTCATTCTGTGCCTAGTAGAAGCTTATGAGAGGTCGTTTTACACTGTCTAACGTTAGAAGAAAGCTTGTTACTGAAAACTATTTGTTTAACAACTCTCAAAAATTAGTGCCACTTTTAAGGAAAAATGCTGGACTATTCCTTTAAAACACTACTACAGATGAGCTCACATCTGCTCTATAACAACTTCACCTGTTATTCTGTCGAGATGGACTGAGGTGAGAGTTTCAGAGGTGAGTGTGGTGCAAGGGTAAAACATCACTTCTAGAAGCTCCTTCAGCTCTCCAGCCAGAACAGCACCACTATCGACTCCCACTGCAAGGCAGGTACAGATTTAGCTCATGTCATAAAAGAATGTTGTAGCATGGCAAGACATTTCTGCTTTTAATCCAAAGTTTCTTGATACAAATAAAAATCTTGTTAGTTGTACTATAAAGAAAATTAACATTCTATGAGTTCCAAATTTAATTTCTACTAGATCTCACTTGTAAGAATTTATGGCTTTTCACAATTCATTCAAACAAGAGAAATCCTTTTTGATTAGTATAAAATAAATAATAAAGTGCTAACAGCTTTCACAAGTAAATTGTAAATTTTGACCTGTCAAAAATGGAACTGGTACATGTACAAATTCAATTCTTACATGAAAAAAAAAGAAAGTTTTTACTTTCACATGTGAGAAATGCATTTTTACATGAAACAATTAAGTTTTCACAAGGAAAAAAAATGTAAACAGAATTTCTCTGTTAAAACAGAACCAGCACGTTACAATTGAATTAATACGGGTAAAATGAGTCTGCATATGAACTAATTGTTTCCTCCATTAAAATGAATTTGGAAAAGCCATAAATTCGTACTAGTGAATCAAAATCACATTCCTACTAGTAAACGTTTCACTTTGCCATGTTAGAATTGAATTTCACATGTCCAATTTATTATTTTCACTTATACAAATAACACGCTATCTTGTTCAAATTAAAAACAGACCACATCAAAAACTGTATTTTCTGGTTTTTTTGTAGTACTTATGCGTTCATGTTGGTCAACTCTAACGTTACCTCCAACTTCAGGACAGCCTTTTCTCAGCTCCGAGACCAGCCAGGTAATCAGCGGGCAGGGCAGCTCGTCACAGGCGCAGCGCCTCACACAGCGGCCGCTCTCATACCTGGACAGTCAACACGGGTTCAGTTAAACACGACACACTGACTAGCTGGCGATGTTCAGGACAGGTGAGCGCGCTTTTACACTGGCTTACCCCAGAGCTCTGAGAGCAGCGACTATCCCAGAGCCTCTCTCCATCACAAGACTGGAGCAACGGATTAAATTGTAGTATACAGCGCGTACTCGGGACTTTTCATGGACGCGTCTTCTTTACTTCCTATTATCCAGATTTCTTCCTCGTCCGTCACTCCCTTCTCCCCTCATCTGTGGATTACAGATGCAACGGCAAGGCCAGAGTAATCGAGACGTGTTTGGATTGTTAAATTCCATGAGACTTTTATTTTATATGTGATCATTTCCTGTTGCAAATTGGGATCACTAATATTGCAAAATACCACATATAATAATAAATATTATTATGCGCATTATTATTGTGTGCATGTCTATGTCTTTAAAACCGTCTTTTTGTACAGGATAGTTACACACCAGCGAGATTTTGGTGACAGTCGGACCCAAGGGGGTCGTTTGCCGCGTTTCAAAATGTTACTGTAGCCAATGAGGAGCCAGATTTCTATAATTGACGGTAGAGTGAACCAATCAGAGGCCGCGCTGTGAATTGCGCGGTGCCCGCTTCGGAAAGCAGCGTTACCTCGGCTAAAGCTTCGGTCACCGTCCATCTTGTAGATACTGAAACTACCGAGGATTATACTTAAACTCGGCTTAAAAGGTATGATCATAATTTCTTTCACCAGTATAAAGACGTCTGTTTGTCTTGGCTCAGCTTTGCTGTGAGATGTGTTACTGTAGAGCAGTGTTTTTTGCAGAAGCCGTTTGTTTGCCTAACGCTAGCTAGGTTAGCATTTGCTCAGTTGACGTAGCTAGCTAGGTGAGCGAAAGCTGCAGGCTTGGCCGTCATTAAAACGGTACATGCTGTGCAGAAACATCGTGTAACGTTAGTTTATCGATTTCTGCAGGGATTGGCTTTACACTGTTACGTTGCATGGCCGTGTCCCTTGCTAGCTAGCTAGTGAGAAACGAACCGCAGTAACGTTAAGCAGTCGTTAGCTAGCTTAGCCTCCGGTAAGCTAACATTGTCAACGTAAGCCGAGTGTGCAGCGTTCGCAGCGCTCAGCCTCCCTGTTTGCTCTCTCCGCAGGGTGACAGGCTTTCGGGGGGAAATTCATCGCGCCACCAGCAGCAGCCGTGCATGTCAACATGAGCACTCTGAACGTGAAAAAGCTCAAAGTCAACGAGCTGAAGGAGGAGCTCCAGCGCCGCGGCCTGGACACTCGCGGGCTGAAGGCGGACCTGGCGGACAGACTGCAGGCGGCACTGGAGGCCGAAGCTGCCGGAGGCACGCAGGAGGAAGAAGAGGAGGAAGAGTACGACGCGGGAGAAGGAGATGCAGGTAAGCTGTGAGGCTCACTGCGTGTAGACAGCGTGTAGAGTCGCTAGCTAGAGATGCGACCGTTTGGTGGCAAAACAACCGTGCATTCCAGATGGTGTGGCCGTGTAAACAAGATTTACCCAGGGATTAGACCAACTGCTTTACTAGCAGTGGGGCGGGTGCAATGCATTACATCATATATAAAAACAGGGTTTACTTAATAAAGTGTATGTTTTTTGTTTGTTTGCATCATGTACAATATTCATATACAGATTGTCCATGTACGATCTGTATTTTATAAACAGTCTGAATATGTCGTTTTGTATGTGTATGTATGTATGTGTGTATATATATATAATATATGTTTGTGCGTCTGTATAATGTATATACACACATATATGTGTGAATGTATATACTGTATACATGTGGGTGGGTAATGCATAATGTAGAGAGAAAGATAGATACGTTTAGAATGATACATACATTGTGTATATATTGTGTGTGTGTGTGTGTGTGTGTGTGTGTGCCAATTCTGCCTACAGCTGTATAGCCCTGCCCATTCACGTTGAAGTTATAAGTTATAGAAGTTATAACGCCAAATTAAATAAGACATAGAAATAGGTAATGCATTGCAGTTCATTGATCAGTATGATCTTTTGCTCTAGAATTTGCTGGTGGGGAGCCTGACAATGGGGAAAGCAGTGCGCCTCAGTTCGATGATGGAAACAGTGGCGATCAGTACCAGGAGGAGGATGACCAGGGCAGTGTAAACAATGAGGAAGATGATGGCGATGAGAACAGTCCAGAGGCTCCTGTCTCCGGTTTTGGAATGACTGACTTCACCTCGGATGTGAATCAGCAGATACAGCAGGGATATGATGAGGCCATTCAGGGCTATGGGGATCCTCAGCTGAAACAGGAGTGTGAGGAGCCGGCTATAGAACAGCAGCAGTATGAGGAACCACAAGAGCAGCAAAAGGCAGAGAGTCCTCAGGCAGGTCAGTCTCGGGAGCAAGCAGCCAGTGAACAAGGTAAGTCCAGTTTTAATCCCAAATATTTCAGAAACATATAGTTAAAGCATGTTGACTCAAATTAAGCTTAATGTGTTAAATATTTGGTCTCAAAGGAGGATTGTCACTATAATCCTATCATTATTTATCTTATTTATTTATTTATGTATTTATTTACATAGAAGTGATAAATTGAGAGGGAATATTTATCGAGGACTTCTCTGGAGAGCAAGTTGTTTATCATTGTGTTTCTGCTCTGTTTTGTATTAATGGATGTTATATATTCTCTGTGAAGTCAAAACAGAGCCAAAGAAGGAAGAAGACGCACCTCAGCAGGCTAAGACTGCAAATGAATGGAAGCCTGAGGAGGGAGACCAGTCAGGGCAGGTCAAGACAGAAGATGATCGATACTCATCACACAGTCGTAAAAGGCCCCATGATGATAGCCGTGGATATGGATATTATGAGCACCGTGAAGACAGGAGGTGAGTTTGATGTCTCCTGCTATGTTGCTTCACCTTGCTTTTCTGCTATGGGCACATCATTTACTATTTATTCCACAGGGGACGTTCGCCACAGCCCCCAGCTGAGGAAGATGAGGAAGACTATGATGACAGCCTTGTGGCCATTGACACTTGTGAGTACAGTTCAGAAAGCAGATATTGATGCATTCTAAGTCATTGTGATTCTTTTGTCATTGCCATTCTGGACTTGTACTAATGAAGCTGGAATAAAGCCAACTGGTGTGACACTATTGTTCTTCTTTGACTAATCATATTTTAATGTGTAGCACATGTTATTTATATTTGGATAATATTGACAAACGAAGTGCTTCATACTGCAATTCGGGACTAGTCAAGTATAAGTCTCGGTTTTTAGTGATGTTTTTTTGTATGTTTTGCTTTGACAGATAATTGTGACCTGCACTTCAAGGTGGCTCGTGACCGGTACAGTGGCTACCCACTTACCATTGAGGGTTTTGCATACCTTTGGGCAGGTGCAAGAGTTACTTATGGTGTTACCAAAGGACGTATATGCTACGAAATGAAGGTAACACTGTGGACGTAGAAGTTGGAACACATGCAAGGTCATATATATGTGTGTTATGATTCCCTTGAATGAGAAGTAGCGAGTTAATCAGTAAAACTTGTCTGTGGTTTTGTTTCCATTTAGATCAATGAGGAGATCTCTGTAAAACACCTCCCTGCCAGTGAGCCTGATCCCCATGTGGTGAGAATAGGGTGGTCCCTGGACTCCTGTAGCACCCAGCTTGGTGAGTGGATCTAAGTAAAAGAAAAGATGAGGAGGGTTATTGTTTTCATTGTGTCCGCATAATTGATTAGGCAGCTGAGATTTGGAACCTTGTTCCAGAAAAATAAATCAACCTAGATTATTGAGAAGTTTTGATTTGATATTTGTTCTGTTTTTATTTTATAGGAGAAGAACCTATGTCCTATGGCTATGGTGGAACTGGCAAGAAATCCTGTAACTGTAAATTTGAAGATTATGGGGAGAAGTTTGGTGAAAATGATGTCATTGGTTGCTACATTGTGAGTATCTGACAACTGCTTCTTTATTTCATCTTGCTGCTGTTCATCTAAGCGGAATATTCTCCCTGAGAAATACTACAATGGCTAATAATGAATGAAATCACTGTGGCTTGATTGGATTTTTACAGTGCCAGCTGACTCATGCAATTCCTAACCAGCACTGATACCATTAATAGGTGAAGTGTTCTTATTGTGACAGTAGAGACCAGAGAGCCAATTGCTTCTCTCAAATTGAACTGTTTCTTTCTTTCTTTCTTCAGGACTTTGAGAGTGGAGAACAAGTGGAGATGGCGTTTTCCAAGAATGGCAAGTGGCTGGGCACGTGTTACCACGTCTCTCGTGAAGCGTTGGCTGGCCGGGCTCTCTTCCCACATGTCCTGGTGAAGAACTGTGCCATAGAGTTCAACTTTGGCCAGAGAGAGGAGCCCTTCTTCCCCCCACCTGAGGGCTTCACCTTCCTCCAGGATTTGCCTCTGCAGGACCGCACCAGAGGATCACCGGGGCCTGCAACCAAGGCAGAGTGTGAGGTATGGCTATTGATTTGATTGGATTCTTCCTGGCTCAGACATGTAGATTTTATTCTTCAATCACAATATTTAGTTAACCAGTTGTGAGGTATGGTTGTGAAATAAGCAGTTTTTTGTAATTACAATGCTGTTTTGGGTACAAGTTTCTGTTAAATATAACAAAAAAGGTCAAATCAGTGCAGTTTAAATGTCCTGTATCTGTTTTCCACACAGATACTGATGATGGTGGGACTTCCTGGCAGTGGAAAGACTACTTGGGCCAGCAAATACTCGGAGCAGCACCCAGAGAAGAAGTACAATATTCTGGGCACCAACGCCATCATGGAAAAAATGAGGGTATACACACACACTCTGTGATTTGGGTCCATTAATGGTAAAGTGGTCAGATAATGTATGTAAATGGGTATTTTAGTGCTCACAATATGCTCATAATGCCTGCTGTGTCTGGCCAAAAAGCAGTACAGTTATACAAATAATCTAATATTTCAAACAAAAACAAACTGTGAAACCCCTAACTAGGTTGGACAAAAAAATACCATAACATGGTAATAACAGGTCCCTTTACATACAGTCCTTGAGAGACTGGAAGCTTAAGTTTAAGCTGAGATAGAGACTGTGTTCTAAGTTAGCATAGCCTTAGATATAGCATCATACCGTTGAACCAGCCAAAAAAGACTTATCATATTTTCATGGTGGAAAAATAATTAACAATATCTGCTCATGATAAAGCAGTAAGCCACCCAAGACCATGCCTTATAGGCAGTCTAAGCCTCCGTAACTGTGGCAAAGTAATTGTAATGCACA